TGCTCCACTGGGTACTGTGGTAAGCATGTGGCATGTGGTCCTTCGTTTAAGCTGCACAGGAGTCCCAGGAGACCAGTACTGTTGCTAACCTCTGCTCACAGACGGGGAACCTAAGGCCCGCAGCATGAAGCTACAGGGATGGGAAAACATGTGACCTGACTTGGAGCCCTGGCACTTGGTCACGGCTCTAAAAAAGAGATGTGAGCTCAGTGTTGAGGGAACACTGGGCCAGAAGAGGAGACTCCCACTGAGCAGATCAAGGGAGGCTTCATGGGAGAGGCGATCCTATCTGGGTCTAGAAACATCAGGAGATTGCAAGGTAGCATTTGGCATAGGAGGGAGGACAGAGGTCCTGGTGTGTATATGTATGTGTGCACATGTGTATGTACATGTATGTTGTGCAAGCACGTGTGTGTGAAAGACAGGCTTTTAAACTTGGTCGAGCAGTGTCTGTCCTTCGCTGCCATCTCGTCTGAGTGACAAATGAGGTAACACATGCATGCGTTGAACAGTCAACAAGTATTTACTAAGCTACTACTGCGTATCAGATCCTGAGATTGCCACAGAAGGTACTGGAGTTAGCACAACATTCTCAGCTCCGATCCTCATGACCCTGTTGTGTGATGCACGGTAGGTGTTTAGTAAATGGCAGCCACAGGGCCAGCTTGATGACTCAATTGGCTAATCCTTCACTTGTAAGCATCAGAATCCCATGTGGGTGTTGGTTCATGTCCCAACTGCTCCATTTTCCATCCAGCTTCCTGTTTACGGCCTGGGAAAGCAGTCAAGGATTGCCCAAAGTGTTGGGACTCTGCACCCACATGAGAGACCTGGAGGAAGCTCCTGGCTCCTGGCTTCGCATCAGTTCAGCTCTGGCTGTTGCAGCCATTTGAGGAGTGAACCAATAGATGGAAGAGCTTTCTCTCTGTCTCTCTTTCTCTGTAAAAATCTGACTTTCCAATAAAAATAGACAAATCCTTAAATTTAATTAATTAATCAATCAATCACAGTCTCGGGGTGGGCATTGCGGTTCAGTGGGTTAAGCCCTTGTGTGGGATCCTTATATGCCATATTTGAGGGGTTCTTTTACTCCAGTTCCTTGCTTCCATACCTGGGAGGCCACAAGTGATGGCTCCAGTTACTTGGATCCCTGCCACACGTTTAGGAGACCCAGATGGAGTTCCTCGTTCCTGGCTTTGGCCTAGACCCACCCCCAGCTGATGCAGGCATCTGTGGAGTACTGGAAGGGTCTTTCTCTCTCTCCCTCTGTGTTTCAACAACAATTAGGTAAATCTTTAACATAAATAAGTAAATGATAGCTTCATGGAAGACCTGGATTCGTTGTTCAGCCCGCATTTATAGGGCATCTGCTGTTTCCCAGGCTCTGTCCCAGGCTCTGTCCCCAAGTCAGGGAATGCAGTGGTGACCAGGAAACCAAGCCCTGCCCTCCCAAAGCAGTCATGCAAAGGGGAAGACCACAGGGCATCTCAGACGCCCTCAAAGGTGGGCACCCTCCAGGGCTTCACCCTAGGGCTCCTGGGGTGGGAGTGTAGCCAGGAGCACAGGCTCTCCCCACAGGATGTGGGCCTGCAAAGAGGGGGAGCAGTGTGCTTCCAAGCCAGCACCCCCACCTCCACTCCCAGGAAACTCCTGGGGTTGGACCCAGCAGTCCGGGCTCTGCCCTGGGCCCCTGATGTCATCTGTCCATCTCTGTGCCTCGCCCACCAGGATCCAGCATGTCTTCTCTGCCAGAGGACAGGCTATGGAACTCAGCCCTGTCAAACGGCTGTGAGGTTTTCTCTCCACAAATGTGAACTTGCTGACGCTAAGGGGACTTGAAACCAAGCATGTCATCTGAGGAAGGGTTAGAAGGACCGGGGCAGCTGTGCCTGGAGAAGACAGCAAGGGGACACAAGACCTGTCACCAAGGATTTGGAGGCCTGTCATGTGGCGAAGGCAGCTAGCTTGCTCCCTGAAGCTCTGGAGGGCAACCTTAGGACCTCTGGGGGAGTTCTAGGACACAGATTCAGCTCAGCTGGATGCCTGGCAGCTCTCCCTGACACTGCTGGTCCAAGGAGCACCTGGTCCTGCAGCTTCAGCTCTCTGTTGCCAATGGGGCTGCCCCAAGGGGTGGGGTTGGTGGATGTAGCCCTGGAGGGACCTGACTTATGAGTTTTGGGGCTTCTTCCTGATCCTAACCCTCTTCCAGCTGGAGACACAGTGACTGCGTGCTTTGGGGACTGCTTGCCCCCTCGATGGCAGCATTGCTGGAGGGCATGCTGGCCGAGGACATCTTGTCATTTTCATTCACGACACCAATGCAATTTGGAATGGCAAGCGTTTGTTTCAGCCTTTCTTCAAGGGCTGTTTGGGGGATGCTACAGGCCTCGTCCACATGGAAGCTGATGGTTTCAACACCATAGGGGACTTGAGGGTCACTCATGATCCAGAGGGGTCCAACTTTCCTTAGCAACACCTCGCCTTCTTGAAATGAAATTCCCTGCAGAATGCCACAATGGGAACCAAGGGAAATGCTGCCACTCTGGTTGAACAGGGCTAGGGGCTGTAGCCTGAGGTGTTCACCTTCTGCCTTGGTAGCCCCTGAGAAAGTCCAGGAAGCTCAGAAAACATGGACTCTGAGCCTAGTTGCCTGGTTCAAACCCCAGTACTGGATGACCTAGCTACAATATCTTTGCTCTCTGTGGCTCTGTGTCCCTGTCAGTTAAGTAGGGAAAACTCGGTTGCTGTGGAGACTAAGTTCTGCAGGTGCACCTCCTGGTGTGTGTGGCACATTACCTGAATAAGGAAGGGCCAGCTCTCTCACAAATGAAAGTCTAGAGAGACCAAGTGCCTTACCTTTAACCCTGTGGCTGGCCGGTGGCTGCTACAGCACCTCATCCTGAGGCTTCCATGCTCCTTCTGCCATGGAAAACTAAGTGCTCTAAGGGACATTTCAGAGGGCCTCCTGGGCTTTGGGATGCACAAGCTTGGAACTCCCTGGCCTACAGCAAAGATTAAGATTTTTTTTCCCCAGATATTTGCTTCTTAAAGACTATTTTTTTTTTGTCTTATTTATTGGAAAGACAGAGCAGACGACTGAGATCTCCAATTGCAGGTTCACTCTCCAAATACTCACAAGAGCCAAGGCTGGAGCAAGCCAAACCCAGGGGCTGGGAACTCCAGCTGAGTCTCCCACTGGTGGTAGAAACCCAAATATTTGATTGCCTCTGCCTCCCCGGGTTCTGCAGCAGGAGGGAGCTGGAATCAGGAAGAAAGCCAGGTCTCAAACCCAAGCACTCCAACATGGGATGTAGGTGTCCCAAGTTGGGGCTTAACTGCAGTGCCAAAGATGCAGCCCAGCTGGATCTTCCCTGGGGACTGTAACATCTCACCCTTTCCTGGGTCTGTGGCTCCAGCATGCTAGGGCACTTAGCTGAATTTCACCCATCTCCCAATCTGAGGAAGACCCCCACCACACTCAGCCTCAGAGTGAATCCTTATGAGGTAGTCATGGAAGAAAGCCCAGCCCAGCAAAGGGTTTACTTGATCTAAAAGTGAGTCAAGCTAGGGTGTGAATTCATCTGTACACAGCACCCTGACTATTGCCTGAGGGCACAGTGATGGGCACAGAGGCCACAGTTACCTGGTCTTGGGGCCCTGGACTGTGCCCTGCCCCATCCTCTCTCAGAAGAAGCGTGGAGATTCAAGAGTAAGGTCTCCTGTCTGGTCTAAGAACTTTGGGGTGTGTGGCCTCTCTTGCCTTGCAGAGCTGTGCTCCCCTCCATGAGGGGAGGATGAGAGAGACAGGATCGTGGTGCCTGCACTTTGCTTGTCTGTGTCAGAAATCACAAATGCTGTGCACCTGAGGTTGACAGCGAGCTGGGTGCAGGGGTTCCTGGGGGGTGAGGCTATGGACCTAGTATAGGAGGAAGCTTGGTGGCCCAGCTGGATTCCCCCCACCCATGGCCAAAACAGGAGAGACCAGAACTAGAAGGGAAACAGAAGCTAAAACCACAGGAGCCAGGTCCAGACAGACACTGTCAACTTTTAATTACCTTGGTCGCTGGCACAGGCTGCTCTGTCAACACAGGCATCTCCTTGACCCCGCACGCACCTGTGTACCTTGCACATGCGATTTATGCCTTGCTCGCTGCACCAGCTGCCAGGCGCAATCGTGATCATTTGTGGTCAGTGCTTTGCTTTCCTCTCATTTGACCTGGGCTGATGCTTGCAGGAGCAGGTGAGGAAGGCAGGCAAGGCAATTTTGTCTGCATTTACAGAGAAAGCCGGTGGTTCTGGGACTTGTCCAAAGCCACCCCATTTTCGAGAGGTGAGGTTTACAGGGAAACCTAGGGATGCATCCAAGTTCCCACTCCTGCAGCCTGTGACCCCTCAGCAGGGGGGATGGAAGCCCCTGGGAATAGTTAGGGTGGTACAAACCTCATAATTGGGGCTGGAGCTGCAGAGGCAGGAGGGCCAGAGGCCAAGAAATAGGGGAGGGGTACTCCCAGCCCAAGGTGAGAGGCTGGCCAGAGAGTCTCCAGTATTCCCCTGAGACTGCACACATGGTCAAATGCTAAAGCAGAAGTCTTCAGTGGGATTGTAGAAACTGAGGTCAGCACTTCACCCAAATTTCATGGGGCTTGGGGATGTGAAGGGAGGAGGTGTGCTGGATAAGAAGGCTGTACAGACGGAAGGGCTTCTGCCAGCAACCCGGGTGGAGCCTGTGGTGTGGGGGGTGGACCCTTTCTGAGATATACTTGACCTCTCCCTTTGAGGGTGTTGAGTTAGGAGGATGGCTTGGATCCATGATCCTCCATGGACTTGTGCAGGGATGGACTGAGAACGATTCCAGTCAACACACTGAGGCACTGAGAGGAAGGGGCAGGGGTGCTTTCCTAAGTTCTCCCAGTAGACGGTGACTTCAGAGCCAGCTGGAGGGGGAGGGCAGCTGACTTGTGTGGGTCAATGAGGATCTGACCTGTGTGTGTCCTTCCTAGGGGCACCCACCCGCGATGTCCTGCTGGTCTCTGCCATCATCACCGTCAGCCTTAGCGTCACTGTCGTTCTCTGCGGCCTCTGCCACTGGTGTCAGCGCAAACTGGTGAGGCTCCCGGGGGCTCCTGGGGGCCAGGGGGTGGGGGTAGACCTGACCCTGCACTCGTCTCCCCTCCGCCATGGCAGGTTCTATAACTCCCTGGAGGTACCTGTCCAGGTCCCCGTGGAGGTTTCATGCCTTGTGTGAGCCTTGGCATTTGTCTGGGCCTTGGCTCTCAAGCCCTGCGGACACCGAGAGCCACATACTTTGGACTTGCTCGAGGACACCCTTGGTCTCACATGAGTTTCTTGGCGGCTGGCACTGCTCCAGCACCACGAGCTCGCAGGCTTGCATGCACACACACACACATGCACACACACACACATACACATACACACACACATGCTCGCAGGCTGAATGAGAATCATTTTAACCAGGACCCTGCACCCATCTGACAGTCCAGGTGGGCATGGTCGGGCCAGGAATCCTGACCAATGAGGAGGCACCATGCTCCTGCTCCACCCCCAGCCGACCACACATCCATCCTGGTTCTGCGGGTTTGTACAAGCACAAACGGCTTCTTTTTCATTTTTAACGAGGGCTGGGGAATTAACGAGCTGGATTAGGCCATCAATAAGTAACGAGGCCGTCAGAAGGGACGTTCATCACTCGGGGGCTCTGCAAGAGGGGACAGACTGAGCCGTGCAAGCCTGCAACCTGCAGTCCTTGCCTTCTCCCGTCCCTGCTCTCACATCCCATCCCGGCTTCTGCTGCCCTGCCCAGGGGTATGATGGGGACTTGTGTGGCCCAGATGTGCCCAGGGTCGGGGAAGCGGGGGAAAGGAAGGAGGGTCCTTCGGGCCACCCATTGAGAATGGTGCAAGTAAAGACAGCACCACACTTGGGGACCCCATTCTCTCCCTACCCAGTTGCAGAGGGGCCTAAAAGACAAGGGGTGAGGGCTGTGGCTGTGGGTGCTGGGTGTGCCGAGACATGTCCAGGCCTGTGGAGCAGAGCCCTGGAGAGGGTTGGGATCTGATGACAGAGGACCTAAGGGCCCCATAATCTAAGGTATTTTCTTCCAGATATGCAGGGCCAGGGGAGAGGGTGTGGGTTTCAGTTTCCCAGGCAGGAGCCACGGTGAAGGTCAGCTCTGTCCATGGTGTCTGGTTCTGATTCAGAATTTGAGAGGAGGTGGTAGAGGAGATTTGGGCCTTAGGCTGAGAGTGTCCTCCAAGGGCCACAGGAGTGTCCAGGAGCACACTGTAGTGCTGTGGGTCTTGCTGCAGGCTGGTTGTATGTGTTTAGACAGGGAAAGACGTTAGCATGGGCAACCCCTGGGGGTGACTCTGTATGCGTGTTTACGAGTTCATGTGTACTGAGTGTGTGCACTGTGGGGTGGTGGTGCATATGAATGTTGGCCGTGGAGCTGTGCATTGTGGATCTCACTGGGTCCTTGTGTGAACAAACACTGGGGTTGGTTGCTGCCCTGACTCTCCTGCAGTGTGTGTGTGTACGCTTGTAAGCCTTCCATGGGTCAGCTGGCCTCTTTCCACTCATCTCCAGGCAGGGGCCAGGTCTGGGGACGGGAGCTGAGAAAGGACATCTTCCTTTGCCAGTGGGAACTGTTGGGGCAGGAAGCACCTTGGGCTGCCTGGAGAGGCAGACATGCCCTTCCCTCCTGAAGCCTCCCAACCCAGCCCTGGAGACTCTCAGGGGTGCAGCCTGTCTGCCTGACTTGTTTTGAGTACACTGTTCTCCCCCAACACCCAAAAAATGCCAGCCCTGGCCTCTGCCTCTCCAGTCCCAGAAGCCAGGGAGCTCTTTGCCCCAGCTATCTCCATGCTCTGGGCCTGCAGCACCTGCAGGACACCTCCCTGCCCCCACCATCCACAGTTGCAGAGCTCTCCTTGCCTGCCTGTCCCCTTCAGCAGGAACATGATACCCTGACAGCCCAGATCCCATTTCCAAACATTAATAACTTCCTTAATCTCCAGCTGGCTTTGCTAGTTCAGCTTGTCCAAGCCCCTCTCTGATGAGCAACCTTTGGAGCTGCTTCATGCATCCTGGCCCCCACCTGGCTTTCCTGTTAACTTAGGCAGCCCCACTAACTCCCCTCTCTGCCTCCCAAACCAAGTCATGCCCTGGCTCTTGTCTCCAGCGGACGGAGTCTCAGTCACATCCCGTGCAGAAGTTCTCTGAGCTTCAGGAGGTCCCCGAATGCCCTGGGTGAACAGGCACAGTCACCCCAGGCTGCCTGGCCTTAGGTTAGGGGCAGAGAGCATGGAACCCAGCAGTTGTCTTGCCAAGGCCAGAAAGTGCGAGGAGAGCATGATGGGTGGCACTGAGCATATGGTCAGGGTGGCCTTCCTCATCCCATCCTGCCCGAGTCCCACAGGCATAGTAGGGACTGGACCCTGACCTGGTGGCCTGTCAAAGATAGCCTTGACCACCGATCTTCTTGGTCAGAACTGGGAATTGTTTGGGCTTTAAAAAAAAAAAAGATTTGTTTCATAGGCAGAGTGACCAAAAGAGAGAGAGGAAGAGAGGGATTTTTCATTTGTTGGTTCACTCCTCAAACAGCTGCGCTGGCTGAGGTTGTACCAGGCTGAAACCAGGAGCTCAGAGCTCCAGCAGGGTCTCCCACGTGGATGGCTGCGGCCTGAGGACTTGGAGCTGACGTGCCCTGCCTTCCCAGGTGCATTAGTAGAGGGCCAGATCAGAAGCCAAGCAGCTGGGACTTGAACTGGTGCTCAGATGTACCAGCTTGGCAGGCGGCAGCTTGGTTCTCTGTGCCATCACGCCAGGCCCTTGTTGTCTGAATGTTGGATGGAAACACCTAGAAACAACCAAGAAAGGGCAGCTCTTTCAAACTCAGAGGGTCCTAGTGCCTCTGTATTTGAACTCCTTGTTGTGTCTCAGGGCAGCAGTGGGGACCCAGACCTCAGAGAAACACATAGAAAGGCTGCCTTCTTTGAGGGCCGTAGGTGCCAGGCTCCACACGAGGTGCTGAATGGCGTCCAGGCCTGCTCCTGAGGGGCTGTGTTCCAGAAGGCAGGAGTGAGCGGAGAACTCAGATCTGGGGTGAAGGTGGCATCCTTCAAGGGGTGCACCTGGTGATGCAGTATGCTTTCGAGTGGAGGAAGGAGGCCAGAGAGGGCGGGGGAGTTGGCCATGGTGACAGAGCCATGGTGTGGTGATGCTGAGGCCAAGACTGGGGTATGGAACCAGGGCTCTCACCCACTGCCTGCACTTTGCTGGGAGCTCCGCTGCCTAGTCAGGCTGCCTAGTCAGGCGGCAGCTGCTGGCTCCCGCTTCGTGCCGTGCCGGGAAAGGGGCTGCAGCTGCAGCAGTGATGGGGATGCGGCTGTGGCGGCTCTTATTTTGCTTTAGAAAGAACAGAATAATTGACTGTTGTGGCTGTGGTGTTGGTGCACGTGATGGGATGCCCGGGACGTGTGTATGTGTGTGTGTGTCCACTCAGCACCCCCTCTACCCACTCCCCCATGGGCAGGTGCAAGCCAGGACCCAGTGGGAGAATGGACTGGGGCAGAGGTGAGCTTCCCTAGCCCTGCCTTGCTCCTTGTCCCCCTACCACCCGCCGTAGCCCTGTGCCTGGCCCAGGCCCACAGCCTATGGGTGCGCATGAGGACGCACGGTGGCAGCCAGGAATGTTAATGGGGCCGGGCTCTGCATGAGCTAAATTTAGAAACCCAAACCGAGAAGGTGAATGGTGCTCACCTTCCCGGCAGCAGGCCCGGTTGCCACTATGGCTGGGGCCCCTCCTCCACTGGAAGGCCCTGGACTGCCCCACCCCCACTGCCCCTGGCTACCCCACCCCCACTCCTGCCCTGCCATCCTCCCCCTCCTCCTGCTAGCTCTGGGCACTGTCCAGGGACCCAGGCTGCCCACTCTGCATGCACCCCTGCCTCCCAGCCCCAGAGTGCAGGAACCTCCAGGGGACCCCTAGGCAGTGGCCAACACAGCCCTGGATGCAATCGGGCCTATGGCCTTCTCCCTACCCCCATCACTCACGTCACTGGTCACTGCCAACCTTGCCCTGCAGGATGCCACCCCCACCATCTGGGGGCGGTGACTTGGACAGTATGACGTGGCCAGGCGCCTGAGAGCCGTCTGTCTGTGGCAGAGGGAATTGTGCTTCTGGGAGTCAGGCCAGAGCCCCAGGATACAGGCAGTCGGGAGGGGCCTTATCCTTGGGGGTCAGGTGTGAGCGGCAGGCAGAAAGTATGGGAGGGGAGGGGGCAGGATCCACCAACCAAGGGGCAGGTGTTGGTGAGGCTGGCCCCTCCCAACAGTGACATCTCACGCCTCTGAGGCCAGACTCCAGCTTTTGCTCCTGGGGTCCCTTCTCTGGAGTGGTGGGGAGGGTTCCATCCTGACCTGCAGGAGTGACCCGGCACTGTTTCCACAGGGCAAGCGCTATAAGAATTCTTTGGAGACCGTGGGCACGCCAGATTCGGGGCGCGGGCGCAGTGAGAAGAAAGCCATCAAGTAGGTGCCAGGCTGCCAATTTGGGGAGGGGGGTCACTTGGGCTGCCCAGGTGGGAGGAATTCACCCCCTCTACAGACCTGGCCGCATATACCTGCCATCTGTTCCATTGCTCCCAAGCCCCTATACACCTGCAGCACCTCAGGGTGCTCCTGAAGTCTCCACTTTTCTGCCTGTGCCCCTAGGCCTGCATAGTATGTCAGACCCCCTGCCCCTTCCTCTGGCTGCTCTGGCCCATCATCACTTACACCCCACTCCACTTAGCACACTAGCCCTCCAGGCGACCCTCATCTCACTCAGACTTCCCCTCTCCTTTCCCCAGTCCTTCCTGGGCTCCTGCTTCTGGACTGGCAGCCCCTACCACCCCACCAGCCCGATGTGCTCATGCTGTTTGCTGTGATCCCACCCAGGCTTTGAAGGCCTGGAAGGGGTACAGACATCCCTGAGTCCTCTGGCCACCCTTGGTGCTGGTCCTTGTGGAAGGCAGAACCCTGGGGCGGGACTCCTCTCTGCTGCCCCTCCAGTGAGTGGATCATGTTGCCATGGCCCTGGCCGTTCTCCCTGTTATTTTGGGGCCTCTGCACACCTTCCTGGCCAGACCACTGCTGAGGGACCCTGAGAGACACAGACAAACCCCGCTGCCCACCTGGATGGGGACGTGTGGAACAAGCTCTAGGGATGGAGGTGCCCTCGGAGAGTCTGTTGCCACAACTCTTTTCTTTGTGTGGGGCCGTGGGAGGCTGCCCTGCCTTGGAGCCAAGCCCCAAGCCCCACCTCCTCCCCTTCCCCTGTGCGCCTTCCTCCTTCCCATCTCCCTTCCCCACCCCCATTCCTCCCAGCTCCTGCCTGCCCCCCTGCTCTTTGTTCATCTCTTGCTCTGACCCCCGTCTGGGGCCTTCTCAGAAGTGCCCTGTGCGTGTCTGGCTTAGGGGGTAAGTGGGAGGGTGGGCCAGGCTGAGACTGGGGTGGGTGAGCCGCTGCTCAGGAGGAGGCCTTTGAAGTTGAGCTGGGCTGCACACTCTCTCATCGTCTTCAAAGCCAGGAGCTGGCACATCTCAGAGTTGTTGCAGAGCACAGGCCCCTGGTTTTCTGAAGGCGGGAGGGACCAGGTGGGGAGGGGGGAGCCCTGGACTGATGCTCTCTCCAGCCTGGTTGTTTGTAGCCAAGGACCAGGCAGGGGCCTGTGGCTGCCAGGTGGCCATGACCTTTCTGGACAGGGGTACATGAGGCAGGGCCAGGAGTCCCTGGAATGGGCCCACAGGAGGAGACAGGATTTTCAGGAAGGAGGAGGGAGGGCAACAGAGCAGGCAGTAGGGCTGTGCCAGGCTGGGACCAATGCCCGTGAGGGCTCTCTAAGACAGTGTGAGGGTGGCAGCAACCAGGCTGCCCCTGTGTGACCTGGCCGTCCACAGCCATCCAGCCTGCCCCCAACCTGCTGGGCTGTCAGACCCTATACTACTCTCCCAACCGAGGGTCCCAGGCCTTTGACCTGGAAAGAACAGAAAGGGATCCAATGGGATGACAGGAAGCAGGCTGCCCTAGGGCCCCTTCCACGACCATCCCACCCAGGGTTCTAGGAGGCGATATGCTTCCCAGTCTGCATCTGTCACAGCTCTGCTGCCCATCAAGGGCTACTAGCTGATTTTTTCTCTTTTTTTTTTTTTTGAGACAAAGGTTCCGTGGCTGGCCAGGTCTGGGCAGTGCTGCCTACCGTGCCTCCTGCTTGGCACATGGCTGCTCACTGGCTCATTGAAGACTCTGAGTAGTACTGCGGAACGGGAACCCCTGTTCCGCAGACTCCCTTCATCAAAGCTTCTTCCAGAACTGCAGTAGAAACTCAAGGGACCCTGAAGCCCCCAGCACGAAGTGGGGCGATACCGGCTAGGCTGGGATAATTTCGGGTGGGCCTTTTCCCCTAAGACCTAGGGTCGGAGGGCCCTGGAGCTGGGAGGCCAGACGAGGGCAGAGGGATCAGACCCTTCCCCAGGCTCTGTCCTTGCTACACAGGGGGCCCCAGCCGAGCCTATGGCTGTTGCCCTGCTGGGGTGGGCATGAGGAGGAAGGCCACGGGACATCTCTGGTGGGCTAGGGACCTGCCTGCTGCCCCACCCCCTGCCCTGTAGGGTGGCTCAGGGCCTTGGTTTTGGCTCTTATGTACAGAGCTGCGTGTGAGACATTGGCAAGGTGAGCCCCCGACAGAAGCTCTGGGTCATCGGAGGCTAGAGGTCATGGTCTGCTCTGGGGCCTACCACAACAGCTCAGTCTCTCTCGCTCTCTCTCTCTCTCTCTCCAAGTGGAAGTCCCCACATTGTGCTTGTAACATACCTGCTCCTTCCATATGGCGTGTCATGGAGCAGGAGGGGTGGGAGGACTGAGGTCGGGTCTGGGGCACACTGAAGCCCGTCCTGTCCACACCCAGGGAGGGGCAGACTGGATGCAGTTCCTGTCACCACTCTCAGGACCTTGATCATGTTTCTACAAGGTTAGACACCTTGGGCACTTTCGAGGGGGGGCAGGCCCAGCTCCCACATTTGCACTTAGTACAGAGTGTGTCTAACCTTGTGTGTGGCCTGGCTTCTCCAGTGGGAGAGACAGGGCAGAGGAGGTCAAGGGGCATGGTGCTCAGGCCAAAGGGAGAAAGAAGGGCAGGGAGCTGGGGTTGTTCAGTGGAGGGAAGAGACAGAACCCTGGTCTGTGTCCCACCAGGAGAGAGCTGACGGTTTAGCCATGCGGCCGACATTCTCCTTCAACAGGCAGGGAAACTGAGGTTGGGGTGGTTGGACCCGCAGGCTGGCACAGGATCTCATATCCTTTTCTGTTCTTCTTGGTCAAAAACCAGCACCTTCTCCCCACCCGGCCCTCCCCAACCCCTGCCAAGTCTGGGCCCCAGCTGCTTCTTCCTGTAGGCCCCTGTCCTTTTTCACCATCTTTTTCTTTCCCACCAGTTTCCCAGGTGCAATTTCCCGGCTGCCTGCAGCTCGCCTCCTTCCTGCCAGGCTCCCCCTGGGCCTCGTGTGTCTGTGTGTGTGTGTGTGTGTGTGTGCGCGCGCGCGTGCACCAGGCACAGGCTGCAGTGCCCACTGGCCTTTCTTCCTCCTGCAGGAGCGGCCCCCGAAGCCCTGCCCTGTGTGTGTGCCTGGCCACGGGGGTCTTGGGTCCTTTCTGCCCCCGCAGGCCCTGGAGTTCTGGTTTCTTCTTGTATCTCCCTGTTTTCTTCCCTCTCTCTCTGCCCCTCCAGCGATCTAGACAGAGACTTTTGGAATAACAATGAGAGCACAGTGCAGCAGAAATGGAGCTCCTACCCTCCCAAGGAGTTTATTCTAAACATTTCACCCTACGCCCCTTATGGCGACCCACGACTGTCCCTCAAGTGAGTGACTTTACCTGATTTGATCATACGTACCCAGTCTCCCGCGCACGCCCTCCTCACCTCCTCCTGCCCCACCCCATGCCCCTCACTTCCTCTCTGCCTCCTGCTCCTCTCACCCCACTGCCCCCCCACCCACCCCATGGGCAGGCTGACCATGGAGACGAGCAACCCCTCCTGCCCCCGTGCCTGCCTGCTCCTCCTCTCCTGCCCTCGCCCCTAGGGCCAGCCACGCAGCCACGCAGCCACGCAGGAGAGCTCCCTTGGCAGCCACGCCTGGTACCCACACCCCCACAAGCTGGCCCCGGCCCTCAACCTCCCTCTCCCCTCCCCTCCCCCCCCACCCTCTGCGCAGTCAGGATGGGGTTGCCCGTTTTGGTCCCTCCCTCTCGGTCATGGCTGCTTCTTCCTCCCTGCTGTGTGCTGCTGCCGTGGCTGCTCGGTGGTCGGTGGTCGGTGGTCCGTGGCGGTGGTGGCGGTGATGGTGGTGGTGGTGGTGGTGATGAACTCTGACTAACACGGCTTTCTCTTTCTCCCTGCCTTGGGGCCTCCTGGCCTGGACAGCCCGCTCTTCCTCCGTCGTTAACCCTTCGTTGTCCTGTGGGATAGACTTGGAGGTGGCTACCCTCCCCCCACCCCCGCCGCCCCTGCCCCAGGCGGTGGGGAGGGGCCCCCCCTCCGTTGTCGTGGTGCGTTGTTCTCCGCCCCTCAGCCCGCCCGGCCCCCCTCTCTCCTCTCTGCAGGCTCCGCTGTTAACCCATTTGCAGTGCTGATGTCTCTCTCTCTCTCTCTCTCTCTCTGTCTCTTGTCCGTCTGTCTCTCTCCTCCTGCTCTTGCACTGTCTCTTTCTTCCTTTCCCCTGTCCTTGTTCTTCCTCCTCTTCCACCCCTCCACCCCCACGTGTGGCCTGCCCTCTCTCCCCCACCGCCACGCCCGGTGCCCTTCTGGCCTGGCTGCGTCGTGCATGCCTCCAGTGGCACCCTCCTGTCGGGCGCCAAAGTGGCCGCCGCGGCGGGGCTGGCGGTGGGACGGGAAGGCCGGCTGGGGGAGAAGCCGGCGCCGGTGCCACCACCAGGAGAGGACGCCTTGAGAAGCGGCGGGGCTGCCCCCAGCGAGCTGGGCAGCGGTGGCAAAGCGGGGAGAGGCCGCTGGCGGACGGTGCAGGGCCACCTGGCCGCAGGGAAGCTCAACTTGTCCAAGTGAGTGATGGCGCCCCATGGCTGCCAGAGCCGTGAGCTCTGCCAGGGTGGACAGCGGGCCCCCTGGCATTCCCGCTGCTGCCCCCAGAGGTGCCGCCTTGGCCCCTGGCCCATTCCATCCCTTCACAAGACTCCACCATCATCCTTGCCATTGGGCACGAGTAACTCAACCATTCAGTGTTGCATTGCAGCCCCTAGTAGCCGTCCCATCCACCTCTTCCTTTACCAGTAACGAGGTCATTCCATTTCTGCCCCAGGGCAGCTTCATTTCAGTCCTGGGCCATCCCATCCTCTTTGGCTGGCCACTCCATCTCAGCTGCCAGGTCATCCCTCCCTGGGCAGCAAGGCCCGGGCAGACTCTATCAGTCCATGTTTTGTGCTAAACCATCAGCTACCAGGCCTTCCCTCTTATGGCCAGCAGGGGGCTCTAGACCCAGAATTGGGTCATTCCATTTGGATCATCCAGTGGCGCCATCGGCTTGTCCTGCTCTGCTTGCACCCTGCACCATCTGTTGCAAAGGCCCACCCCTGAGCAGCCCATAGGCTGCCCCATTGGCTCATCTCATCTCAGCCATCCCCATTGGCTGTTCCAATCTTGGTCAGCGAGCTATCCCACTGCCAGATCTGGGGTTGGGTATTCTTGGAGGTTGGGCTGTGGCACCCCAGCTAGCTTCTCCTACAGGTGTCAGAGGGTGGACTGGTAGTCCAATGGGAGAACTGTTCCCTTTCTAATAGCTGTGCAAGCTTGTCCAGCAGCCAGCACCACTCTTGTAAAGGACATAGAAGTGAGCCTGTTTTCTACAGATGGTTTCCCCACCCCATGGAATGGCCTTATTCTCATCTTGGCTTTAGAATCTTCCAATATCCCCAGAAGAGCCCTTGCAGGGTCCATGCCCTTTGAGCTTTGGCCATTCTCACCTGTTAGGATACAGATTCCATTTTTAATGAATGAGACAGCCTTACTCCCAGGGAGTGGGCAGCTTGGAAGGGCAGTAGCCTTGACTGCTTGCTGCCTGTTGGGCCATCTCATTGCACCAAGACAGGAACCCCCTTCCTGGTTTTCTTCAGAAGTCCCATGGTTCCCACCACTAGGACCCCTGAAGGTCACTGCACTGAGGCCTCATTTGCTTGTTGTCTTATGTGGACACAAGCTGATGCCTGATACTTGTCTCTGATGCTTGGTCTCAGGAGAGTCCCCAGAGAAGCCCCGTACTTCAGCAAGCCAGCCTCCACTGTGGCCTCTCCTAGGTGCCCATGCTAGGCTTCAGCCTGGCCAGGCCTCTGTGTCTCCACCAGATCCAGGCCTGTGGGAACCAATTTTAGTTCCCTATGACTGAGAGGTCGTAAACTGGGCTAACTTTGGATGTGATAGGAAATCAAAATGAGGTCAGCCAAGAGCTGTCCTCTGGCTGCCTCTGCCAGATCGCCCAGGGAGCTGTGGGCCTCCCTACCTCCATGCCCTCAGGCCTCAGCCTGCCCCTGGCTGGAGTCAGACAGGGCTGCCCCCTCGGAGACCCCAGGCACAGCCATGTTTGGCTTTCTTCTGTTTCTTTTGTTTGTTCTCTCTTTACTCTTTCTCTCCCTCTTTCACCCTCACCCTCTTTCTCTCTCTCGCAGCCCCCAGGGGCAACCTAACTGTTGTCTTTTGGTTCCCAGGGGAGGCTCAGGGAGTGAGCAGAGCTCAGGTCTGCTTGCAGTGGTGCAGGTGGCGCCCAAGGACCCCAGGGCCCCAGACCAGGGGGTCGGTACACTGTCTGTCCCAGAGAGGAAGTATTCCAGTTTTGTAAGTTGTGCTGTCTCTTTCACGTGACCCGGTCCTGCCTTTGTAACATGAGGCAGCCAGAGTCAGTAGGGAAACTTGCGCCAAATGGCTGTGCTCCAATAAAACTTTATTTACAAAAGCAGGCCACAGGCCAGATTTCTCCCACAGGCCACAGTGTGCCACCTCCTGGCCTAGACTGTTGGACTGGGAGTTGCAGGGAGGGAACAAAAGAGAAGAGCTTGCCCCCCCTTTGTGACCTCACTCAGTCTCTGGCTTGGCCAGTGTCACAGTGACAGCCTGGCCCTGGGCTTTAGGGGGGTGTGTGTTGAAGTCTTGGGCCAGTGCACGAAGCAGGCAGGCTGCCTGGGGAGAGGCCAAGGACTTCTGTGTCCTGCCACTGCTGGAAAAGACTTTCCCCTTTTTCGGGGCTGGACCTCATTAGGTCCTCACTGTAGCTCAGGATGGAGGCAGCTTGGGGATTCTGGAATGCTGCCATTAAGCAGAGGAGCTGAGAGGTAGAGGAACTCTCCTAAGCCCCGCAGTTGGTTAGTGACAGAGATAGAAAGGGATTCTCCTAGTTCCTGGTTCCCATGTGGCCTTGCTCCACATCCCAACATTTCCCTGCGTAAGACCGGGCACCCTCCTGCAAATGTACAGACAAGGGTGTTGCCCAGTTCTCTGTCAGTGGCTGGAGGGTGACTCCTGAGGTGGCCAGCTCATGTGCTCCCTTCCCTTGGTCCCCTCCTCTGGGTGGGTTGTTTCTCAGGCACCCAGGAGGATGCCAGGTCTTGAAAGCAAAGAACCCTGAGAGTGGGGCAGAGGCCCATGCCTTGGCACCTAGGTCCCCTGGGCAGCCTTGGCCATAGGACAGGGGTCTCTGAACCCTCATACCCAGGAGACAGTGGGAGAGCTGCTGGCTTCCCCGCCACCCGAAGCGTTACTAGGCCAGCACTGAGCTGGCCTGGATTTCCTCGTGTCTGCAAAGGACAGTAGTACTCAAAGCACAGAGCAGACTTTCCTGGTGTCCCCTAGCGAGACAGTGGGAGGAAGCTGTCACCGCTTCCTCCCACCCCTCCCGTTTCAGCAGCGCAGGCAGCCTCAGGGCCCTGGGACCCGCCGGCACCACTCAGCAGCCACGGCAGACTGGCAGGGAGGCCGGCCCAGACAGGAGGTAGCCAGGGCCAGAGGGTGGGCTGGGTGGGGGCCAGCCTGGGAGCCTCAGGGCGGGGGCACGGGTGAGGCGGTGGCGGCGATGGCAGCGGTGTGACTGCGCTGGAGGCCCGGTGAGGGGAGAGTGTGCCCTGCACCGGGGCCTTCCAGCCCTGGCCCTCCTCGGCTTCCTTCTCCTCCACTGCAGTCCCTTCACCTGCTTCTCCTTTCTCTCCTCTCCTCCACCTGCCCCAAGTTTCGAGGACTCCACCCTGTCCACGGCCACTACCCTTGAATCTATCCCCAGCTCCACGGGAGAGCCGAAATGCCAGCGACCCCGCACCCTGATGCGGCAGCAGAGCCTGCAGCAGCCGCTGAGCCAGCACCAGCGGGGCCGGCAGCCCAGCCAGCCCACCACCAGCCAGAGCCTGGGCCAGCTGCAGGCCCATGCGGCCTCAGCGCCAGGCCCCAACCCCCGGGCCTATGGCCGGGGCCAGGCTCGGCAGGGCGCCTCGGCCGGCTCCAAGTACCGGGCGGCTGGGGGCCGCAGCCGCTCCAACCCGGGCAGCTGGGACCACGTGGTGGGGCAGATTCGAAACCGAGGCTTGGACATGAAATCCTTCCTGTAAGTCCCCCCCCCCCGGAGCAGCCAATCTCTTCCCTTCCCTCCCCAGTCCCCTGTCCCACCCCCTCACCCAGGTCTCCTTGGGGACAGCCTGGCCTTGTGTGTGGGCTCTGGGCTTACCGTCTTCTGGGAAGCGTGCCCAGCAGCCTTGGCAACCCCCTGCCCAGCCTCTTGGGGCTGGTGCCTGGAGCCCCCTCATGGAAGGATTTGTATCAGGCCTCTGCTGGAGGGGCTCAGCAAAAGCCTCGATATTAAAATTGAGAGCAATGCTAGATGACCCCTTCTCTTGGCAAGTTCCAGGCTGCTCCCAGCCTTGGGGCCAGGGCCAGCCCTGCCCTCTGCTCCCGTCCTCCCTCCTCCCCTCCTGCACTCATCCTGGACACTCCATCTCCCTCCAGTTTACTTCTTCCCTGTAACCCAACTCTGCCGCCTCCCTGCCCTGCACTTCCTCCCCCGCCCCTCACTCCCCTCTGTCCCTGCCACCAGCCCTGTTCCCTTGTCTCTCTGACCTTCCCAGCCACCTGTCCTCCAGCTCCGGCCCTGCCTTTCCATAGTTCCATCCTATCCAGAATGACCCCTCTGAGGACGAACCCAAGATGTTCTCCCAGAGCTTTAGACCATGCTTCTCCCTCGAGCAGTGTTCTAGGGAGACTGGGCAGAGAGGTGTCCAACCTGGACTGTGGCCCATGTGCCCCTCCTGTGGTGGCAGCCCTGGACATTTGCTCTCACCCTCCCAGCCCAAGGAGATCTGCACTGTGGTCCCCCCCACCTCACACCCCAGGCCCAGCCTAATGTGAACTTCCTTACAGGCCCTAGGATCTTGTTCCCATCACGTAGATTTTTTTTCTGGGAGCACTGTTCCAGGAGCCAGAGACCAGGGTATTCAGAAAAGGGAACAGGGAGGGAGGCCAGGGCCGAGCTGGCTCATTGGCAGGATGTAGGGATTGCGAGAGCAGGCCAATTCCTTGGAGTGTCCTGGAGCCTTTCTGGCTGCCATCTCAACCCCAGTTTCCAGGGCAGACAGGTGAGACCTTCCCCACTGCCAACACAAGAGGCCCCGCCACAGCAGCGTCCTGCATCCACAGGGCATGCTGCCAGTGACTGACCTTGCAGACCCCGGCAGCTTCACCCAAGGATCCCCCAGGAGCCCAGCCGGATGCCTGCCCGAGGCAAGATGCCCAGCAGAACCTGCTATCTGCCGAGTGGCAGGTGCTGCAGCCCTGGTTTAGATCTAGGCGAGTCAGGGGAAGCAGTTCAACCAGGGGCATGCACAGAACTGAGGGCCTGTTGGGTCACTGCCTTTCCTGACCTCTGACTGCAAACCCAGCTTTCAGCTGATTTCCCAGGCTACAGGAGGAGCCCTGGCCACCAGCCTGTCCCTGCCCACCGCCTTGCTGGTCACCGGGATCTGGAGTGTCCGTCATGTGCTGGTCCCCTTCCAAGCTCACCACTGCCCCGCCTCCTCCCCTGTTAGTCCCTCCCAACAGAGGCCTGCAAACCAGTGGCCACTGTCTTCTGGACACTAGCATCCCCAGCCCCAGTCCCCTGGGCTCGCCCCCTCCTCCTGGCCCCTGCAGCCTGCCAAGCCAGAGAGAAGGACAAACTGGATCTTCCTGCACAGGAACCATTCTGTTTTTTAAGAAGAGCAAAAGGAGTGTCTGAAAACTGCATTAACCAGGGGAAAACATGTTGCTTTCCTTGAGTTTTCCTCCTCCCCCCCCCAGCTCAGCTAGCTCTCAGACAACCAAATGGAATTTTACCGACTCTGAAAGGTATCAGTGGGCAGAGCATAAAGACGGTGAGAGTTTGGCCTGAGCCAAGAGGGGCGTCGGTGCCCCCAAAGTTAGCTGAAAGCCAGCCTGCAGTGGCCAGGTTTGGACAGAGGCATGGGGACGTGAAAGAGCAATGAGGCCACTTAGCCCCTTCTCCTCGCTTGGACCCCAGGGCTGTCTCCCTTTTTTCTAACACCAGACGTGCCACTTCTCGCCGGCCAGTTTCCCTTTTGACAGCCTCTGAGGGGAGCAGTCAGTGAATTCATGCGCTGGAAGCCTTGCCTGCCTCTGGAAGTCGAAATGGTGGGCTTTCTGACCTAGGACCCTCGCCCTTCTGGAACATTTCATCAGCCCTACCTTCTCAAGTCCTCGCCGTCTGAGACTCCTCGCACTGATCTGATGAGAGACTTGGTGCTGAGGAGCCCCGCAGGGCTACCGGGGGACACTTGAAACCCTGATGGATTTGATGGGCACAATGCCATCGATGCTTCCTTTCAGAGCCTCAGAAGATACAAGTGACCCCAGCCAGCCCCTGGTCAGTAGCTGCCCTTGGTTCCGAGGATCCCCGTTCTAAAGTGGTCGCACCTTGGCCTCTGGACCCCTGCTGCCACCCACATGGCCTCTGCAAGAGACCCTCGCCTTCTCGTCTGCTACGGCTGTGTCTCCCCAGCCGGTCTCATTGCAGGCACCAGCTCCTGGCAGCCCTGCCAAGACCTCTCTCAACCTTGCCAAGCTCCTGTGTTCTCACTCTACCGTTGGCTTGGTGTCACCTTTTGGACAGTTTTCCCAGTGAAAGACCCCCCCCCCACACAGCCCAGGTTATGGCCGTCCGGCTTGTTGGGGGAGGTGGGACACAGGAGTTGGCTGGCTGTGACCAGGACACTGTTTGCCAAAAGGGACTTCTCTTCTCTGAATGGCTGTGGCTCAGGAACCCAGAGTAGGGAGCTCTTAGACCCCTCCTGGACTCAAGGACATTCGGCTGACCACAACCCAGAGACACACAAAAACCTTCAAAACCTTTGAAGGCCTTCCTGCTTGGGATCTTGAAGCTGCCTGCACAGCCCCAGGCCAACAGGAGGCAGAGAGGCTGGCTCGCTTTTCCGGGAGCCCAGATGGGCAGAGCAAGTTCAGCTGGGAACAGATTAGTTTCAGGAACTCTGGTCTTTCCCCCAACCCCACCCTGCCCTATATATTCCTTGGGACCATTGCGGCTGTGGGTGTCTCTATAGGGCACTGCCCAGCCCCAGCCCCGTTTTTACCTGAGGGAGTTTGGCCCTTGGCCTGGGGCAGGTTGGGTTTGGGTCTGTGGGCTGTGGACCACTCTGCACCATCCTTCCCTCTTGCCATCAGCCACTCCGTTCCTCAACTGTAAATAGTGCTAAAGTTTGGTTTCTTTCCTGCAGGGGCAGTTTCTTACACTGTTTTCTTCTCTCTTTTGTCTCTGTCTCTGTCTCTGTCTCTCTCCTTTTCCCACCCCACCCCCGCCCCACCCATGGGGCATCCTTGTTCCCCTCCCCCTCCGGCTGGCGGGCCGCCCATCCTGGGCAGGGAAGGCCGGATGGTGGTGCTATCCTTGGTCTTAGGGCTCTCGGAGCAGGATGACTTTGCCAATATCCCTGACCTGCAAAACCCAGGAACCCAGCAGAACCAGAACGCTCAGGGGGACAAGAGGTAGGCGCACAGGCGAGCGAGGGCCTGCAGCAGCGGCGGCGGCGGCGACAACGGTGGCACAGAAGGAGGCGTGAGAGGCTGCCCACCTGAACCGGCCCTGGCTTGATGGGGCCTTCAGGGGACGCCGGAGCGGGAGGATGAGCCCCCTCGGCAGTCGGTGACCTCCCGACACAGCCACCTCAATGGTGTCCCTTGGATCTGTGAAGGGACCATCCTGGGACCATTCTGGATCAAGCCTGCTCCCTGGCATGCTTGCCCTGGCATGGAGCAAGCCCTGCCTTTCTGCCCCATCTCCCTGCTTGGCTCTCTGCTGTCCCCTCCCATCTTCCATCTCTGTGCCCAACCCCAACCCAGAAATCCCTGTTTCTGTGGTGGTTGGTGAGAGGAATGTTAGGGAAGGTGTCAGTGTCTTCCCGCTCATCCCTCCACGCCAACCACCCCCGCCCCCTTGCCTGGAGGGCCTGTGGGCTACTCAGTTGCTGAAAGAGGAGACCCTGGTGGGGAGGGTCGGGCATGGGAGAGGCCTGGTAACCAGAGGCCTTCAGAACGAGGGGCTACTGAGGCAGCTGTTGTGGGTAAGAGTGAGGCCTCTGCTGGAGGGCCCCCTGCCCCCAAGGTAGTGCTCAGGGCCCTGTGGAGAAGCTCCCAGCCCGGGCTGGAGCAGAGGCCTGCACGGTTAAACCTCCCCAGCTATGGCCGTGAGGAATTTCAGGAAGCAGCTCCATAAATCAGGGAGTGGGCCGGTGGGAAAGGGGGTGGGCTTGGGGGGTTCCCAAGACTCCAGAGTACCGCAAACGCTGGGCTACCCCACACCTGGTCTGACCACCCCCAACCTGGCCTTAGGCTGAGCCCACTGCACACCACAGCCCCACAGGTGCCAGGAGGGCTCATCCTCCTGGCAGGGTCCACTTTGCATCAGAACAGCCTGTGGCCTGGCAGCCGTGACACTTTGGAGCCCCCTCTACAGCCCTGGGCCCCTGCTTCCTCTTTGGTCCACTGAAGGATGGGGCAGGGTGACCTCCAAGGGATGGCCCTTGTAGCATAGATACGCTAATGAGGAAGTGGCCCTGGGGCTGGACCACTTGTCAGCTCCTGTAAGCCAGGCATGTTTGCATGAATGACTCTGACTTGCTCACAGCCTTTGGCAGTGTAGGTGGTGGTGGATGGGGCAGGACAGGCCATCCTAGGCCTCAGCTTGTGTCCCTTGGTTCTGCGAAGGGACCATTAGGCAAGGTAGATTGCATCCCGTGGTTTCTGCAGCCTGGCATTCACTTCCTAGCTACCCTGTGGCCACAGCTCCAGCACCTGTGGTAGGCAGAACAGGAAGTTGCCAGACAGTGGGCAGAGAAGGCATTGGTGGTATTGGGCCCCCAAGGTCACATCTGGAGACTCGGCTTGGGTAGGGCTGCAGAGCTGGGCTGTAGGTGAGAGGATTGGGGATGGGTGGGGGTGTCAGGAGCCTCTGGAAGCCTGCTGAGAAGCCCAGCTGGGGACAGGAAGCAAATGCAGGCTAGAAACGAGATTTCACATCACCCATGTGTTAATTAACCGGCTCCATTTCCATCCACGGCCTATTTTTACCTCCTTGCCACTTAGGTTTCACTCCATATTTTAACACACTCATCCCTTCTGATCACTACATCAGCTTGTCCCTACCTGCCTGGGAAAGGTGAGTGTGGGGGTGGAGGCCGAGGGCCAACACCCCCCACCTGGCCTGACTTTCCGAGTGGACACATACCATTCCCACCTGCTCATGTCCACCCATCCCACACACTCATGCCTCATGGCTGTGGGGAGGGGGTTGTCTCCCAGGTGGGCTCCAGAATTAGGGGCTTCCTGCCCAGCAGCTTTTCCTGGCCTCACTCCCTCAGGGTTCTTGGGTCTTTAGGTCTTGGGAGTCACGGGCTTGGGTCAGCGATCCCTTCCTCAACAGCGTTCCTCTGCAGGCAGTGCATGTTGTGGGATCCCCTTCCCCTCTTCCTGTTTGCTCACCCCTTGGGCCTGCTCCCTGTTAGCAACGGGCTCACAGGTTGGGGGCCTTGTGACGAGGTGCGCCTTGCCTCTGGACCCCAGGAAAGTAGGACTGGCCCCAGGCAGACAGGGAGAAGGGACATTGTGTCTGCCTCCCGGATCCCCCAGCTCAGAAGCCCACAATGTTCTCAGTTCCAGGACAGGAGGCAGGGAAGGCCCAAGGCCCAGTGGGGGAAGGGGGACTCCTGTGCCCTGCTGTGACCATTCCACTCTCGTCCATCACGCCCCCACCTCATCTCGTAACCTCTCCATCACCATCGCTCCCCAGATCCAAATGGTTTCCACCGTGGCCCCACCCCCACCCCAAGTGGGGGACGGGGCAGGGATCACCCCCATTGCCCTGCAGCCGCCATGTCCCTTCTGCCCGTGTGTGTCCCCCCCGCCTCCTCTCTGCCTCCTGTTGGCCGCCTTGCTCCTCTCTGGCCCCTCTGCCACCCAGCAGCCTTTCCACACAGCTCTGACTAACTTCTCTCGGCCTCCTCTCTCTGCTTCCTTCCCCCCATCCACTCCTCACAGGGATGTCCCTGGGCTGGCGCAGGGCCCGGAGGCCTCTCTCTCTCTCTCTCTCTCTGCCACCCTTTCTCTCTCTGCCTCTCGTCTTTTCTGTCGCTGACCCGTGATCCCACAACAGCCATGGTGACGCCGTGCTGACTCTGGGGCGTGGCCAGAATAACTCCGACTTTCTCATACCTTCAGCAGTCAACCTCGTGCTCTCTCCGCCTCTCCTGCTCTATTTTTAACCTAACTTTACCTCTCCAGCTATTTCAGTCTCCTCTTCCTCCCCGTGCCTGTCTGCGTGAACACATGTCCGAGCAGGCGCGTGTGCCCGTGTGTGTGTGCCCACCTGTGCGTGCGTGCGTGAGGGAGGGGTAGCGGCAGCAGCATGGGGCCGGGCAGGGCCGGGCAGGGCACCATGTTTCAGTGTTGAGGCAAGGCCAGGTTTTCACAGCAGGTGTATTGTGGCTAATCATCAGTTCCCCCCCCCCCCCCCCCCCCAAAAAAAAACCAACTCCCTGCTTTGTTTTTTATTTCACCTTGGCATGCCTGGGTCTCCGAGCATGTCCCTCCTCTCGGATGGCTGTGATGGGGAAACATCAGGGCTGCTCTGGGTTAACCTGCCCGTTGCCTGTGCTGGCCTCTCCCTTTTCCTCTGGATCTCTGACGGGCTTCTGTGTGTTTGCGTGGATGTGCATGCCTGCTTGTGTATCCGTGTGTGCTCCCCTCTGTTGGATGCTGGCGTCTTGCCTCCAGGGCCTGGTGTATTCAGTGCATGTCTGCCTGCCTGCCTGGGGGGCCGCCTCGGTGCTGGCGGCTGGCCTGTACCAGAGGGCTATGGCTTCTGTCCAGCCTGTGCAGCTCCATGTCAGTGACCGAACTCTTGAAGCTGTTCTACTTAAGCACTGTCCCAAGCTCATGCTGTCAGCCCCTCATCTTCCGCTGCCTCCCGCCCCTCCCCCTCCTTGTGGGACGTTCCAGCTTGGTCCCTGGGCAGGCTTTTACTACTCCCCTTCCTGAGCCCCAGCCCCATGGTGCCTGGGCTCAGCACTCAGATGCTGGGCCACAGAACCCAACTTCTTGGAGAAGGCCTGGAGTTGGCACAGACAGGGCCGCTCCATGCTGAGACCCTGGGTGAGAGCCTTGTCAAACGGGCAGTGCACGGTGGGAACGGGGCACAGTGGTTGAGAAAGGTCTCGGTTTGCTGTAGCCACTATTTGGTGATGTAGCCAAAGTTGCTTTACACTGAACATTAAAAACCCAGTTCTGGGTCCTGCTAGGCATCCTGCAAGTGTTCAGAGGCTGCAGGTGGCTGGCCTGACTGTACGCCCAGCCACAGCCGGAAGTGCTGCTGGCCCTAGAGCTGTGCGGATGGTGGGCCCCACCTTCCCCTCTTGCTCTCCTGTCTATTAAGGGTGCTCCCGCTAAGCCTGAGCAAACACAGGTGGGGCTCCAGGAGACAGACACTCGGAGCATGTTTGCAGATGGTAATGACGCGGAAGGCACCCGGAGCCTCCCATCCCAGGCCAGGATCAGGCAGGATGCAGCAGGTGGGGTGGGGTGTGGGGACCTGGCTGAGGCCAGCCATGCAAACCAGTGGTGGGAGCCTGGGGGCTTTGCTGGGGAGTGGGGAGGGGGAGCCATGGAGAGGAAGAGCACGCCATCCTCCCCAAACAGCCTACAGTCCTGAGGCAGGGTCTGTAAGGAGGAGGGGCCCTGGGCCCTGGCTTTGGGGAAACTGGTGGATCAGCACATTGTCCCTGCCAGCCTGTATAAGGGGCAGCCACCCAGGCCAGGGGTGCCCAGCCTGCCTCCAGGTTCCTGGCTCATTCAGACACCCCTGCCCCTCAGGTTACCTGCAGGTGGGAAGGCGGTGAACACAGCCCCAGTGCCCGGCCAGACGCCCCATGATGAGTCTGACCGTCGGACTGAGCCCCGCTCTTCTGTCTCGGACCTCGTCAACTCCCTCACCAGTGAGATGCTCATGGTGAGAAGGGCAATGGGGAGGGGTCGTGGATGGCAGAGGCAGCTGTGGATCTAGATATAGGCTTGGGAGTGGTGAGCTTCAGCAGGGCAGCTGAACGCCAGGGGTGGGGACCACTTAGTACTTGCTGATTGAAGGGAAGAAGGCCTCTGTTCTTACTTACCAGCTGTCTCAACAGAGAAAATGATACTTATCTTTTTATTTTGTAATTTGAGAAAGCCCATCCACTGGTTCACTCCCCAGTGGTCACAGTTACAAGGGACTGGGCCAGGCAGGAGCTGGGAGCCAGGAATTCCTTTCCAGCCTCCCATAGAGGTAGCAGGGGCCCAAGTCCTTGAGCCACTATCTGCCTGCTCCCTGGAAGCCGGAGGGAGTAGTGGAGCAGGGTCGTGAACGTGAGCATGCCGATCTGGGCTGTAGATGTTGCAGCAGGCAACTCCACTGCTAGGCCCATTGCCTGCCACTTGTGTTCCTTTGCCGTCTCCTGAATTGAGAAGGGCTCTAGGTCCACCCACCTGTGCAGCCATCATTGTGGTCCTAGAGGGGAGGGGTGGTAAGCAGAGGGCTTACCACAGGAAATGTGCCTTCCTTTGGAGTGGTATCTCCTTGAATAAAGGTCAGTCTCATACCCACACCTGCAAATTCCCCCAACTGCCAATGCCAGGAGGCCCAGAGAGAACCGAAGAAAGCCACAGTTCACATGGTGCCCTCTGCTGGCCGTAGTGAGTCACAGCCACTTGCCCCACCACTTTGGGAAGAGCCTCAGAGGAAGCAGGACTCACTGTAGGCTGGGAAAGGCTTGAGGTTGTCTGCCCAGCGCTTGTTCTGTTCTAGTGGGTGTGACCTGGCACAGGTCATTTCCGCAGTCCACTCCCCCTTCCAGTATGGAGGAGAGTGGGCTACAGGCTAGCCCTCACCAGTGCTGATTTAATTCAATTCCCTCTTCCATGGCCCTAAAAGCAGCAAGTCCCAGCCCTTTGAGGCACCAAAGCATCCAGACTCCTCCTTTGTTCCCATTGAGTGTCACCAGCCATCCCTTCTTCCCTACTGCCATATATATATATATATATATTTAACTTATTTGATTGGCAGTGTTACAGACACACACACACAAAGAGAGATTTTCCATCCGTGATTCACTCCCCCAAATGGCTGTGGTGGCGAAAGCTGGGCCAGTCCCCGGCCTAGGGCCAGAGGACTTGGCCATTTGCACTGTTTTCCCAGGACCACTATCACGGTGCTAGATCAGAAGCAGAGCAGCCGGGACTCAAACCAGCAGCCATCTAGGATGCCAGCACTTCAGGGAGTGGCTTCACCTGCTACACCCCTCATTGTCCCCTCACTTCCTCCCCGCAGCTCTTTTCTAGCCTAGCCTTTCTCAAACTATGTGTCCATGGAGGGCTGTGGGTAGGATGTAGATTCCCCAATGGCAGCTCCTTGGGGCCTGGGAGTCTGCTCTGAGATCCAGCTGAGAACATTAGCTGTTATCCCCATTCTAGACCTGGTAGTTGTGGGGCTCCCCACTTCACCCCTTCTCGCCCCCTCAGGTCCCTAAGTTCCTGGCTCTGCTTTTGGCCTTCCCGCTGTTACAGACTGGCTCTGCCCAGCCATTGGCACGCTCCTTTAATGGGTTATGACTTCCTGTTAGCCAGGTTCCCAGAAGGGACAGCCCTTTCCCAGACAGCTTGCCTGTCCCTTTCTGCCCTCAGGGAGGGGCCGACAGACGTGCCGGAAAAAGGAAGTACAGACCCGTCTCCCTCTTAGCCACAACAGACGCTCAGGTGTGGGAGAGGAGTCTAACTGCCCAAGCCAAGTCACTGGCCTTCACAGAGACGGCAGAGAGAAGCCACACAGTGACCTCAGCCAAGCGTGATCTTTAAACTCTCGGCTGCAAGCTGGGGGTCAGAAGCCAGTAGTGGGGGACTCAAGGCTGGCCAGAGAAGGGGCTCAGTGGCTGGCTTGAAGCTTCCTTCTGCTGCAGCAGGGACTCATGCCACACCCCTCCTGGATTGGCCATGGGGACTGTTGAGTCATCAGAGCTCAGGGCACGTGGAGGCTAGGAGTGGGCACAGAGTCACTGCCTCTGCTGTGGTGAGACCAGAGTGGCCAGGAGCCAGGGAACCCACTCAGATGGCTGGAGCCCACTTGAAAAGGAATGGACAGGGATATTAAATGGTCCTCTGTAAGGAACAGCAGTGACCCAGGGGAAAGCCACAGACACAAGACCTGCATTGAGAGAGAGGGGCAGGTGGAAGGGTGCGTGAGATTGCCAGCCACTAACCCGGGTGTGGGTTCCAGGTTGCCATGTTGTCACCCATGGCGGAGGTCAGTGCCCTGAGCTCTGGTGCTTCCAGACTGAAAGTGAAGCTCAGAGGCACCTGCCTCGCTGGGACGTAGGTGGGAGTGAAAGCAAAGCTTGTGGCCCAGGGCAGAGCCTAGCCCGTAGCCTGCCAGCGGGTCTGTGGGACATTGTGATGAGTGTGCCCTGGAGGTAGCTTACCTGGCACCGGTGAGTCTTGACTGGTTTGGAAGTGGGTAGGGTCTCACTGTTACCCTGGGTTGTGGGAAAGAGCCGGCTTTGAGTCCGAGAGGATCTGCCTGCTGGCCTGCCTGTCCTCTATGAGAGGTGGTAACAGTGGCCTCACTGGCTTCCATAGGGGAACAAAGGGAAAATCTTTCGCCATGGAAGGTTTGCGCTGTCGGCAGAGTGGGTGCCTGTATGCTGTAGCACCCAGCACCTGGGAATGGTGCCTTCAGAGGGGGAGATCTGCAAGCAGGAAGAGGGGTCTCTACTGCGGTATCCTGGGCCCCACTCCTGGGTCCCATCCAACCATGGGAGGGGCTTTTAGAGACCCGGATGCATGGGTCACGTAGACGTCACACCCCCTAGCACCAGTGGATAGAAGCAGGTACAGTCCCAGAGCAGGCATCAGAACTCTGCCCTCACCCCTGCCAGAGCCTCCCGTCCCAGCAACCCAAGGGCCTGGCCCAGGTGATGGGCAGGAGGCACGGGGACATCCCGCCTTCCATGTCCCCAACCCTGGACATGCAGTGCCGTCAGAGGCACCTTCTATTTATTTACTTTTAAAATGTGTATTTATTTGGTTACTTGAAAAGCAGTTAGGCTGAATGGGAAGAGAGAGGTTTTCTGTCTGCTGGTTCACTCCTCAAATGGGTGCAAAGGCTGAGGCTGGGGCCAGGCCGAAGCCAGGGGCCCAAAGATTTGAACCATTATTCATTGTGTCACGGATGCAGTAGCAGGGAGTGGGACAGCTGGGACTCGATCCAGCTCTCTTATGAAATGCAGCTCGCAGTCAGTAGGTGAGCCCACTGTACCCATGCCCAGGCCCACCCCAGCTGACCCAACTGGAGACAGGACCAACAAGTCAGTGCTCGCAGTCCCTGATGACTGCCTCATGCAAATGGTTGCTGTTCCTTTTGAGCTTGCCTTTCTTGTTTTGTAAATTGCATCATCCCAGTGCCCCTAGAGAGTTCTCAGCCACCGGAGTAGTGGTGGAAAGTCTTAGGTGGGGTGAACAAGCCCCCACATCAGTTTTGTAGCCCAGTTTTGGTTTGGGGCATTTCACAACAGACCCTCCAGTCCCCAGAGCCACGGGAGGGTGGAGGGGGTAGAGGGAATCCCAGAGTACCCCCAACAGCTGTGACCCCAAGGAGCCAGGAAGCTTGGGGTAGGAGGCAGGCACAGAGAGGCTGGGGCACAGACTGTTGTGTCTCCCTCTCCCCTTGCTGGACCCTGGTCGCTTGAACTCCCTCCACCAGAAGTGAATGTGGCACAGGCTCCCAGCTGCACGCTCTGACTACTGGCAGAGCAGCTGGAAAGGAATGCGGGAGGCAGAGTCCCCCACCTCCCCAACCCACCTCCCCAACCCAGCTGGCCTCTCCCCCGACCCTGCTTCCAGCTCTCCCCAGGCTCCGAGGAGGACGAGGCCCAGGAGGGCTGCAGCCGAGAGAACCTGGGCCGGATCCAGTTCAGCGTCGGCTACAACTTCCAGGAGTCCACGCTCACCGTGAAGATCATGAAAGCCCAGGAGCTGCCAGCCAAGGACTTCAGCGGTACCAGCGACCCCTTTGTCAAGATCTACCTGCTGCCAGACAAGAAGCACAAGCTGGAGACCAAGGTGAAACGCAAGAACCTGAACCCCCACTGGAACGAGACCTTCCTCTTTGAAGGTGAGCCTGGAGCCACCCTCCCTGACCCGTGGTCACCTCTTCCCTCTCCTCCTTCCCCTGTCCAGCCATGTGCATGCATACACAGGCATGAACCTGTGTGCTTGAACACTCCCCTATGGACACAATTACCCAGCATACATTTGGTGTGCAACTGGAGCCTATCGGCTGCTGGGGAGAGTGTCCCACCTCACACCGCAGTGCCTGTCTTTATCTGTTAGCGCTAAAGATCCCAGGGAACTGGGAAGCTGGGCTTGTCACCAGGGCCTCTGGGTGCCAGGATCCTGCTTAGAGAAGCCATAACCCTCTCCCAGCAGCCTGTAAGGCCCTACAATCCAGCTGCCACGTGTGCTGGCTTTCTAAAGGTTTTAAAAAAAAAAATTTGATTTGTTTGAAAGACAGAGTTGCAGAGAGAGAGCTTGCATCTGCCGTTCACTCCCCAAACAAATGCCCTCGATGGCCAGGGTTGCGCCAGGCAGTGGCAGTTGCTTGGCACTGCAGCAGGTCTCCCATATGGGTGGCAGGGGCCCAAACACTTGGGCCTTTTCCCACTGCTTTCACCAGGTCCACGAGCAGAGAGCGTGGTTAGAAGTAGAGTCACAGGGACTTGAACCAGTGTTCATGTGGGGTGCCGGTGTCAGAGACAGTGGCTTAACCAGCTGTGCCACAACACAGCCCCAGCTTTCTAGACCATCAGTACATACCCTAGGGACTGCTCTGCATCTGGCATCCCAGCCACCTACCACCCCACCCAGTCTTCCAGGGGACAGTGAGCTCACTCAGAAGTAAGTTGCTGAGGCTGAGCAGCGGCTGTCCTTTGTCCCCAGGTCAGCATGATCATCCATCCAGAGAGGTGGCTGCCTGGTAGTATACACACAGCCAGCGGGGCGGGGTTCCCAGGGGTCCTAAGCACAGTCATGTCCACAAGCGTTTACCCAGCATCCACTATGAACTTGGCACGCTGCCGCACACTGGGAGTGCAGGAAAGAATGCTCAAGACATTCCTTGTCTAACAGAAGCCTGGGTCGGTTAGCCATGTCCGCCATGGCCGTGCCGGGAGTCCCATGGGCACTTCTCATGAGGGGTGCTGCAGAAGATTCCCCAGAAGAGAGGCTCTTCAAAACAGCTGCTGCAGGGTCAATATTGTAGTGTTGCATGTTGAGCCGTCACTTGTGGTGCTGGCATCCCATGCGGCTGTGGCTTCCCAGAGTCCACTTCCAGTCTAGCTCCCTGCTGGTGTACCTGGTAGGACAGCGGAAGATGTCCTGGGTGTTTAGAACCCCTGCACTGGCATAGGAGACCCCGATGGAGTTCTGGGCTCCTGACTTAGCCCCAGCTATTGAGCCATTTGGGGAGTAGACCAGTGAATAGAGAGTCTGTGTGTGTGGATGTGTGTGTATGTATTTCCTTCTCTTGTATGCTGTAACATTGCCTTTCAAATAAATATCTTTTTAAAGAGTTATTTATTTTTATTGCCAAATCAGATATATATATATAGAGAGAGAGAGAGAAGGAGAGGCAGAGAGAAATATCTTCCATCCGATGATTCACTCCCCAAGTGACCACAACGGCTGGTGCTGCGGCAATCCGAAGCAAGGAGCCCAGAACCTCTTCTGAGTCTCCTACGCTAGGGCAGGATCCCACGGTTTTGGGCCGTCCTCCACTGCTTTCCCAGGCCACAAGCAGGGAGCTGGATGGGAAGTGGGGCTGCTGGGATTAGAACCAGTATCCATATGGGATCCTGGGGCATTCAAGGTGAGGACTGTAGCTGCTAGGCCACAGCACCGGGCCCTCAAATAAATTTTTTTTTTTAAAGATAGGTTCTGATAGATGCATTGGTATTTGCCAAAGAGCTTACAGGTGCAGGGGCCACTTGGAGCCCGGGCTTTTCACCTGAAGTCCCTTGAGAAGGGACATGGGAAGTGAGCCTGGACGCAGCTGCAGGATTCTGTCTTTCAGCTCACTTGCTCCTGTCAGAGGCTCCGAGCTTTCAGCACCCCCAGTGATGGGTCCACCATCCTCTGGGACCTTCATCATCTTCATCACTAGTCAGGCTGTGCCCTCTCCTTCAAAGCTCACACTTGAGCCCCAGGCTGCCCCATCTCCACCTGAGCCTTGGCACGGCAGGTAATCCCAGCTCAGCTTCTCCCTGCACCTGCTCCTTCCCATTCACCTGCCGCCTCCCAAGCTGAGCTGGCCTGGCTGCTCCCACAGCGCTCCAGCCAGCCCCTGCCCTGGGCAGCTATTTAGCCAACCTGTTAGCAAGTCCCTTCGCGAATATTCATGCAGTGCCTACTGTGTACCAGGAGTGGCTGCTGGACAGCGCAGGCCAACAGCTGACAGCAGGGAGGCCTTCCTGGAAATCTTTGTCTGGTGGGAGAGTCCGACAATAATGAAGGAAACAGACAGATAAATCTCCATTACAGCTAGCGAGACGTGTTGTGCAAGGCAAAATGCCGGCGTGTGGAGCAGGGCATCTGACCTGTCTGGGATGTCAGGAAAGAAAGCTGAGGCCTGAGGAATGAGGATAAGCCAGGAGAGGGCACGGCGGAGGCTGGCACAGACCAGGCCGGGCAAGCAGTGGCACCACCCACGCAGGCCAGGAAGGAAGCACGCAGCGGGAGGGCAGTCTGTGGATGGACCACTCCAAGCCAGGGCAGCCGGTCGGCTTTGCTTCTGAGTGCACCGGAGGCCTGCAGCACAGTGTCGTGGCATGTTTTTCAAAGCTGGGGTAGGGGGATGGAGGGTGGAGGCACCCACAGCTCACTAGGCAGGTTGTGCTGGCGGCTTGGAAGAGGGAGGCGGAACTGGGGGAAGGAAACAGTTGCCCATGCTGAGAGAAGGCCAAGGTGGAGGGTTGCTCCAGCCAGCAGAGCCAGTAACGTGGATACGGCTGGGGTCTGGGGGATGAGGCACCTGGGGGATGAGGCACCGACAGATGACCAGTGATGGTGGAAGTCTCTCTCAAGCTTCTCTTTATTACTCCTTATATACTCTTACCCCCCAGGCCCTTTAACAGAAAAATAGGATGCTAATGAGTCTGATTAGACCAGGTGCTTTTAGCTGCAAGCCCAATTCCTGAATGCTCAACTTAAGGAGTGCTAATCAACTCCTTAGACCACAACAGAGGGTGGGATCTCTGGACACGCGGACTTATCTAGTCTCTTGTCTTTTGCTCTTTCCCTTGTTCCACGCCGTTCTCTGCGTTTCCTGTTCCATGCCTCCTCCTAGAGCTGGTTCTCTGGCAGCTGTGACCACTTCCAACATACTTAGTCCGGGACAGCCCAGGGTGAAAGGGGTCAGCGTCCAGCCACCAATGGGGATAGCTAATGGGTGAACGAAGAAGGGGTGGTCCCAAGTCTGTGCTACGTGAGTCCTGGGACTTTGGACAAGGAATGTGATCTGAGGAAGCCTCAGTTTTGCTCCTCTGTATACAATGGACAAGACACAGGCCCATCGGAGAACTGCTGAGGGTACCTCCTAAGACCGCGAGCGTTCTGGGGGGTGCGTGACGAGGTTCAGTCACAGTCTGTGCTTCCTGGGAAGGGTGGCCGCAGGAGGGCATGGGGCTGGCCTCCTCCGCTCACCTGTGCTCGTCTGTTCCCTAGGTTTCCCCTACGAGAAGGTGGTGCAGAGGGTCCTCTACCTCCAGGTCCTGGACTATGACCGCTTCAGCCGCAATGATCCCATCGGGGAGGTGTCCATCCCCCTCAACAAGGTGGACCTGACCCAGATGCAGACCTTCTGGAAGGATCTGAAGCCATGCAGCGATGGGAGTGTAAGGCCCCACCTGAGGGGGATGGGGGGGCCGGACCAGAGGCTCGGTCCCAGGCCATCCCTTGACTTAGGGAGGCCAGCAGGGCATGGGGGAGGACAGACCCTGGGGTTCCTGCAGTGGTCAGCACTGTGCCTGGCACCTGTGGACTCGCTTGTGCTATGAGAACAAACCAAGGGGTCCTAGGAGGGGGCAGTGCACAGACCTGGCAGGTCAGGGAGGACAAGCCACACATCTGGAGTCCTGGTGGCCTGAAGCCTGTGAGCAAGTCCTTCTGCGAGTGCCCCGGCCCAGCCTCAGCCTGCCCATTCTCCCTCTCAGGGGAGCCGAGGGGAGCTGCTCTTGTCACTCTGCTACAACCCCTCTGCCAACTCCATCATCGTGAACATCATCAAAGCCCGCAACCTCAAAGCCATGGACATCGGGGGCACATCAGGTGCGGCATGGACAGCTGGGACTGGCCAGTATCCTCCCTCACCCGCACCTCTGACCCAGCTCCTCCAGGCTGGACAGCTTGGGGCATCCCCAGGGTCACTGTTATCCCAGACTCTGTCTTCTCAGAGTCAGGAAGAAAGGGAGCATCCTTGGGATGGGGGGAACAGGACCACTGAACTGCGACCTTGAGGAAGATTTGGCCCCTTCCAGACTCAGGGTCCTTGTTGGTGTTAGTGGGAGGGATGCCCGAGGTAAGGGTAAGGTCCAGTGGCTGACCCCCCCAACTCCTCCCACTCTTACCTGGGTCCTTCCTTCCGCTCTCGGGACAGTACACAGCCCCTCCCGCCTCAGCTGCCTCTCCTGTCCCTCTAACCCTTCCCCTCCCCTACTGCAGACCCCTATGTGAAGGTGTGGCTGATGTACAAAGACAAGCGGGTGGAGAAGAAGAAGACGGTGACGATGAAGAGGAACCTTAATCCCATCTTTAACGAGTCCTTCGCCTTCGACATCCCCACGGAGAAGCTCAGAGAGACCACCATCATCATCACCGTGATGGACAAGGACAAGCTCAGCCGCAATGATGTCATTGGCAAGGTAGAGGGCAGGGCGATGTGGCTGGCACAGCAGGCACCTGCAAGGGTACATGCTTGAAAAGCCTTGGCAAGGAGAGAATGGGGAATACATTGGGTGATGAGGGGGCTACAGTCAGCCCTTTCCCGACTGCAGCCTGTGCCCACTATGTGCTGGTCAGCTCAGGCACAGCGCTGAGAGCAGGGTGCCTGGATTCTATAAAAGGTAGCTTAGTGGGGTCAGGCAGCAGTCAGACTCCAGAGACACGACTTGAATGCCCACCTCAGGTGCTGCTGAGCAGCTGGGACCACTTGAGCTGGGCCTCTCCTTGTGCATGAGTGAGCTGGAGCTGCTAATGCCAGCCCTGAGAGCTTCATGGGGTGGTGGTCGGCTTGCCCACCATGCTAACCTGCAGAGCCAAATCCCTTGAATCCCTCTGGGGTGACGCTGGGCAGCAACATGCGCACTTCCGTTTTTCTACCTTGGAGAGTGTGCTCCTGTGAGTTTGGGGATTGGAGAGTGCAGGTCCCGGAGTCAGACCACCTGGCTCTGGGTCCCAGCCCCACCTCTCGACAGCTGACAGCCCAGGGAGTCTCATTTGCTCCTCTTGGTGGAGAGTGAGACAGTCCTAGCTCTGCTGTGTGCTGAGAGAATAAGTGTGGTGCTCAGCACAGGACGTGGAGCTTATATGTTCACTACTGCTGTAGTGAGTTATTCTGATCCGTCCCCACCTAGGTTGTGGTTGACTGGGAGCAGGGCAGGCAGTGGGGAAAGACGGTGGGGCAGCAGGGGAAGTAGGAAGGGGATGACTAGGTGCCTCAGGGGCTGGAGGTTAATCAGCTACATCTCCTTCCAGGTTCTTTCAAAGCTTAGGGAGCTGGGACTTTGTCTCATCATGGTCACATCTCCTTCTGTTAACTGAGTCATGGAGAAGACAGACTTTTTTCCAAGCATCAGCCTGGGCAACTGGGGAAGCCCTAAGATCTCTGAGCTTTCCGACTCCTAGCCCCAGCTCAACCCCTGGAAGCCCAAAATCGGCCCCTGCTGTGTTCCCTGCTTTGCTCAGGACTGTGGGTTCTATGCTGAGAGGCATTCCCAGAGTCAAGCGGGCACACAGCAGCCCCTTTCCCCGCTGCCACACCAAGGCTCCAGGACCTTGACCAGCTCCAGAGGGACAGAGGAGCTGACGGTCCTGGCTGGACACTGTCTATGGGACAGGGGCTGCCACGTGACCGTCTTGCAGAAGAAAGCTGGAGGCTGGGAAAAGTCCCTCCACCCCTAAGTGGCAGAGCAGAAGCTTGTTCTGTGAGCACTCCCACAGTCAAACAGGCAAGCAGGCTCCTGAGAGGAGGGTCAGGCTGAGGGAAGGGAAGAAGGGTGCCACCTGCCTGGATGATTGGTACCGCTACAGGGTAGGAGGCCCAGGTCTCCCACAGCTGGGGCAGGAGGCAGACCCCAGACTCGGTGTTGACGCAGCCCTCTCCCTTTCTCCTCCTCAGATCTACCTGTCCTGGAAGAGTGGGCCGGGGGAGGTGAAACACTGGAAGGACATGATCGCCCGTCCCCGCCAGCCTGTGGCTCAGTGGCATCAGCTGAAGGCCTGAGTGGGGCCCAAGGAGGCCCAGGGGGCTGAGGCCCGGGGCCCCATCCTGCCCTCGCCATTTTATGCACAATGCCAGGCCTGGCACCCCCTTGCCATGGGTGAGGGGAAGACCCTGAGGGCTCAGCCAGGGAGGGGTCCCAGGACTTGATTGGGCCCCAGTTCTAGGAAGTACCAGCCCCATCCCCCCACTCACCGGCACAGCTCGGGGGAGGGGCTCCAGGAGCCATTTTCCTGCTTTGCCCTTTTCCTTCCTGACTTGCCAGTCCTCAAGAAGGGGGGGCAGCGCTCCCAGGGGCCACACCGGCCATTCCCTCCAGAGGCCCGCCAGGTGGGCACGGGGCCCCCGTTTTCTTTAAGGCAGTGCCTGGAGTGGAGAGAGAGGCCACCACCTCCTAATCCCTGCTTTGGGACCCAGGAGAGAACAGGCAGAGGTGCCCCCCAGCCACTGGAGGTGGGGGGACAGTGTCAGAGGCCGGCTGGGCCCTGAACAGCCAGGAGAATGTTGTGTCTGTTTCCCGGTCCTGGAGCCGTGGCCCTGTGCACTTGTGTTGTGTCCACTGCGTGTGTGCGTGGGTGCATGTGTCTGTGCGTGTGGGAGCGGCTTGCTCCCCATCCCTCCATGGGGCTGGCAGTGCTTGCCAGCCATGCATTTCACAAAGGCTGAATGAAGACTGGCAGAGAGCCTGGCCACGAGAGCCAGGGGCTGGGAGAGCAGAGATGGGTGCGGGCGGGCTGGGAGGGGACAGACCCTGGAGGAGGGCTGAGAAGGGAGCTACCTCCTGCATCCTCAGAGCCACTCCCTGTGGTCTCTACTTCCGCCTCCCCCCACCAGTTTCATCTGTTGAACATTGTGTCACCTTTTAGGCACCTGCCAGGTGCCTAGCATTCTGCCAGGTCTCACTTGCCCCCTTCCTTCTTGGGGGACCCCGAGCCCCCTCACCTAGCTTCTAACATCTGCACCCCAGGACACCACTCCACTATCTCATCTCAGCCAGGTGGTTAGTAATGCCCAAGCTTTCCAGCTAACTTGCCCAGCTTCCCGTCCCCTGGCCCCACACTCCTGCAGTCCGGCCTTCCCTCCTTCCTTCCCTCCTCCCCTCCCTCTCCTTTTCCCGGTGCATGCGGAGTCTCTGATTGTCCATCGCCTGAGCTGTGCCACCACTCACCTCCACCGCTCCTGGGTCCCCCAGAACTGCTCCTCCCCCTTGCACTCACCACACGGGAGTTCTGAGATAGCCCCACGGGGTCTCCGTCTCGGCAACTGCTCAGGCCACAACTGGCTGCCCCTCGCAGAGAGCAGATTTCAGGATGATCCCAGCTTCATCCTCCCGTCCCCAAGGCCCCAAGGAAGTCCTGTTCACAGGAGCCCCAGCTGGTGGCAGAGCTGGGGGAGGGGAGGGCCTGGCCGCGACCTTCCCACAACACACCGCCAGGGGGCGCAGGGCTCCCACAGGCAGTGGGCGCAACACTCCAAGGACGGGCGGAGACTCGGCGCGGGTCCCCACATGCAGAGTGTGGGGAAAGCACGGACTTCTAGGAACTAGGCTTCCGCTTGCGCTGAGCATTCTGCTCCAGGCAGGCCACCTTAGTCCCTCTCTAGGTGGTCTTCAGTGCAGGCTCACTCTGGCCCCGCCCCTCCCTTGGGTTGGGAAGGAAAGTTCCCGGCCAGTGTGAGTGGAAGGAGTAACCCCGATGTCAAGCAGTCACCCACATGACATGTTAATGCCCCGTGTTAACTAGCGCAGCTCTGCTGACACTGGGAGCTGCCCCAAAAGCACCTTGCTTCTCACATTCGTGCTAGTTCCTGTGCCCCTCAACTCGGGAGGCCCAGGGAGCCCCACCCCTTGCGTTTTGGGGAGCCTCTGGAGAACCCAAGCAATTCCTACAGATCGTGGGGGGCATAGCCCCTAGGGCCTGCCCCTGGAGTGCTTGGCCAGTTACATGCAGAAAGCATCTCTGGGTGGACCCCACCAAGGAACAAGGCATGGGGTCCTCCAGCCTGCCTTGGGGGGCAGAGGGTGGAGTGGGCTCTCATGGCAGGCCTGGGGCTGGGGATGGGGGGCAGAGGGTGGAGTGGGCTCTCATGGGAGGCCTGGGGCTGGGGATGGGGGGCAGAGGGTGGAGGTTCCAGGGAGCTGGGAAGCAGGGAGCTTGAGGGAGGGAGGGCTCCAGATTGCAGTCACCATATCAGGAACCTGGGCAAATCATGCCCAGCCCAGCCCAACCCATCCACCGGGCTCAATTTCTCCATCTGTGGTAATAATAGTTCACCTACCTCATAGGAGAGGCTGTGAGACCACTGTCACCTAACCCCGAGGGGAGGGGGGTCAAGTCAGGGGGACCTTGAAGGTGCTTCCAGGGAGCGATGTGTTACTATAGCAGGCAGCCAAGAGTGAGGCCCATTCACCCGCCCCCTTTCCAACACACAGAGGCTCCAGGGGTAGCCGAGGCCGGCTGGCCTGTCTCTTCACTGTGTCCTGGCCCCTTCCCCAGCTCCGCCAGCATCTTTGTGGGCACCCTTAGATGTAGCTGTTAGCTGTCCTGTGGCCATCTCCCCCATGTGACTGCTGTTCCAATTCCACCTGCTCCTGTACCCCTGTGTCAGAGGCCAGGGAAGGGATGAGGGGCAACAGCCCAAGAAATCCCAGGGGTCCCCCAGGCTGGCTGGGGCCCAGGGGTTGGGCTGGTGGCCACTGTTTGTGTTGCGTTGAGTCCTTGAGAGCAAGTGTTTTATAGGAAACAAAAAACCCACTGTCATAAAAACAACAACAACAAAAAAAATACATGCAGCAAAAGACAAAGGAAGAATGGTTGAAGGGGTGGGAGAGAAAAAGCCAGAGCAATTCAGATCTGCCACCACACACACCCTCTAAGCCAGCAAGATTTTCCTCTTTGCAAAAATCCATATTTTTGTGGGAATGGGCCTTGCTTTTTGTGGCAAGGCCTGTTCTGATTAATAAAGGATCGTGAAAAAGTAGGGCCTCGGCTGTTTCCTGCGTGGGTCCCGGCCCTCTCACCGGCCAGGGCAAGGGGCAGCGGTCAACAGGACGACGAGCCAGGGCTTAGCTCTTCCTCAGCTGTAGGGTCTGCACCATCAGCAGATCGGGATGCAGTGGCGCGGGCAGCTCAGAGTCCCAGGTCAGGCCTGAAGCAGGGTGCCCTCGTCTGTGAGCTGGTGGCAGCAAGGTTGGCTCGGGCACCTGTGGCTCTCACGTGACCAGTGCACCTGCTGAGAGCCTATGCCAAGCTCCATCCTGAACCCTGGGGGAGTTCCTTCCTTCTCCAGCCTGTGGTCCTGCTGCTGTCGGGTCCCTCAGTTCCCCCTCACCTGGAAAAGCAATAACCCTCCTGAGCCCTTCCCCGGGCCCTCTGTCCCTGCACGGGCAGGGGAGACTTGGCTGGCAGTCCTCAGGGTCCCTAGCTACATGTGCTCCAGTCACAGGCACCCGCCTGGTGGCCCCGTCCTGCTCAGGGTGAAGGCCCTGTCCCATTTTCTTCTCTCTCTCACCTGGGCCTTCTGGCTGCACTCAGCACCACCCAACACACGTGTGCACACCACCGTGTGCCCAGCTGCCTGCCCTTTCTCCAAGCCCCAGATTTCTTGCAACTCAGTTCAGCTGGTTTTAAAGGTGGCTTTTTTCCTTTTGGCTTTGGAGGGAGCACTGGGGTCAGGTAAGTAGCCTCAGAGGTGACCTTGGCCCGGAGCTCTGGGGTGGGTGGTTTCCTGGAAGCAGCGTCATGGAGAACAGAGCCTGAATCCACAAGAGATAGTTCAGCAGGCAGCAATGGGGGCCACAACACCCTGCCCCCAGCTCAGAGCCTCCTCTGGACTTCTTCCCTGTCCCTTCTGCTGTCACTTCTCTGGGTCTGTGTGCACCCTTGCCTGTTCTCTGATAACCCCCAGCCATTTCCTGGACCTGGGACCACTCCCCTCTGGAGTTTCCTATCTCCGGCAAGTTCCCTGTTGGGATACCACTGCTCTCCGGAAGGCCTCCCTGGACCATGGCTGCCTCCCTTGCCAAGCAGCTGCAGGACGACTTGTGAACGTGTCGTGGCTCCCGGCCCTCTGTTTCCCACGAAGACACTCCGCCCTGCTCCCCGTGTCTGTGTCCTGCGTGTATGTGTTTTTGTCTTGCGTAGATTGTGAGCCCCTGGGCAGGGACCCTTGTCTGAACACACATTCTGTGTGGCACGCCTGGATGTGCTAATAAATGCCCATCTTCAGAGCAACAGTGCCCCAGTGTCTTGGGGAAGCTGTGGGACAGGTGACCAGAAGCCTCTGGAGGGCCCCGGCTCCAAGCACTGTTTCCCCAGTCCCCCTGTCCCATCCCCGAGGGAGATGGGAAGGACAAGATAGCAATGCTGGGGAACGGTCCCCTCTGGCATCCCTCTGCAGCTCTGCTGGCCAGGGTGGAGGTGGGGGGGCCTGCTGTCTCATGGCTAACCAGGAGCCGCCAGCTCACCCCCAGCTATTCTCCTTGCACACTTGACTGTCGGCCCAGGACCAAGCGGCTTCTCCATGGAGAGGCAAGAGCTGTGGGTGAGTCTCTTACCCCACTGGGCCTGCTTCCCACTCTGCTTTCCTTGGCAGCTCTCACAGCCTGCCTCCCACCCTCGCTGTCCAGTCCTCTTGGCCTCAGCTCCCATCCCCTCTCCCGCCCGCCTAGTGCACAAGCTCTTTCCACTTTGAGCGCCCGAGCTCTCTCACTGACTGCCTGGGACCACATGTTCCAGGGACCAGTGTAAGCCTCACCTTCTCTTCCCTGCTTCCCGGAGGTCAACGTAGACGGCTGAGGCTTGGGGGCAGGGAAGTGCTTGGACTACTAACAGTGCCCTTTCCATCACCAAAGGGAATTGGGATGTCCAGCCATGATGGCCATAACCCTTACCATCCCAGGTATCCCTCATTCTCACGTGGGGACAAGGACCCTCAATAGTGCAGTAAATCTGGTGTCAGCATCCTCCTTCAGAAGAGATCCGACTCCTGCTGGTGGACAGCATGGAGCAAAGCAGGAACCAAGCCATAGCAACTTCTTGTCTTCTGTGCCAGGTAGAAGCGACCTTCACAGAGAGAGGCCCAGGGTGTGGGTGCCAGCCTGGAGGGTGCCAGGGGGCAGGGCTCAGTCCCTTTCAGGATGGCCCAGGGGCCTCACCATAGGGCTTTAGGCAAACGCTGCTGGGAAGAAGGGAGGAAATCTGAGCTCTCAAACATCCTGTGTTTATGCTGAGGGAGCTATGCCCAAACGGACACCCAGAGGGCCAAGGTCACTGGGTCAACAGCAGGATCTGAATCCACATACCTGCTGCTTCCAGCCTGGAAGCATTCCCTGTGCAAGGTGACGGAAGTTACAGCTCACAACTCCTGCCACACCTGAGCGATCACCTGATGGCTTCAACTCTTCCCTCCACAGTTCCGACGGAACCTCAACAGGAGGAACCCTGGGAGGCAGGGGTCTGCAGCCAAGCTCTGGACCCCTTCTCATGAAAGAGGAAACCCTCAGGTTCCTGGACATGCCACCTCCTTTTTCAGTCCCCTGCAAACGGACTGCCTGCAGATCCATGCCCAGCCTCCTCTTTCACGGGGGCTGGGTGCCTACAGCCAAGCTCCAGGGCAGAGCCTGACCTTTTTGGCCCTGTATGACATCAGCTTCTGTTGCCATGGTGATGAAGGGCAGGCTCAATTTTCCCATGGGAGGAGGGCCTCTGAACTTGAGGTTCTGACCGTTTTCTTCCTTGCTTTAAATCTTCCAATTCTTCAGCAGGGGGAGAAAGTAATGCCAAAACTTTAAAAAAAGATAGATAGGAAGAGAGCCACAGAATGAGAGGGAGGGAAAGCATGGAGGCAGGTCAGCCAAGCTGAAAGGTGTTTCCAAGACAGACTGAAATGTGAGCCCTGGAGAAAGTCTGACAGCTAGACTGGGAGAAGGGGCAAGTGGGGGGCCCAGCCTTGAGTGGGGGTGAGCAAGGAGAGCAGCCCGGGGCGAAGGGCAGCCATCAGCAGCGGGTCACGGGGAGGGTGGTGTGACGCGACACAGCGCAAGACTTGATTGCACTCTGGCCTTACAAATAAACAGGCGTGTGGGAAACATACATTCTTCATCCGAGAAATATAATTTATGCTTACAGCCCATTTGTTTTTTCTTCCTAAAGAAAACACGCGCAAGTGGGGCCACTGCCCCGTCAGTGTCCCTGAGTGTCCTCACCTCACCCCTCCCCGGAGCCCCTTCCTCCTGTTATTGCTTGGACGGGGAAGCTCTGGCCCTGGGGACTGCAAAGCCAGGCCCTCTCCTTGCCCCCAAGGAGGCTGGCCCTGATGACGGAGCAGAGGCACACAGTGCCCATCCCGTGCCCCACGCTGTGCCAGCCGCCCCGGCTGTGCCCATGTAAGGGAATGGAGAGTGCAGGCAGTGGGAGAGGTGCTGGGGCGGCGGCCTGGAGGACAGAGCCCCTCTCTCCCGGAGCAGGAAGCCCTGGAGGCACTGTGGCGTCTTTTCAAAGGTGACAGCTGGATGCGGGAGCTGTGAGGAGGGGAGTGGGAAAGGAGCGCTGCCCGGGAAGCGCTGGGAGAGAACGACAAAAGGTCAGACAGGGCCCCGGCCTGCCTGGCTCCTCGGCGAGTCTGGGCAGGAAGGTGGAGAGGTGAGGGCAACTGCCACGGAAATGCTGTCACCCCAGTTGCCCTCCTGTGTCTCAGACACAGGCCTCTACTCCAAGCTGCCTCTCCACCGCCCGGCCAGCTCCCACCCTGGAGTGGTTCTGTCTCACACAGGCACATGTCTCCCCTCTAAGAGGTAGCAGTCCCTGCACCAGGAAGGGTGGGCGCTGGGGAGACCCAATGTCAGAGTGGCGTCCAGACGCAGGGCGAGGCAAGGCGAGGATTTCAGGAACCCTCGTGACCCTGCCTCCAAAGCGGACTGGTCCTCTGCTGTGCTGGCAGTGGCTCCGTGGCCGACTGGAGGGCATACTACTTGTCCAGGCGGCTGTCCAGAGATGGGCCAGGGAGCCCGAGGCATCTGAAGATGGTCCCCAGAACTGCCTGCACCTATGTCTCCCTCAAAACGGCCCCCCTACCGCGTGGCTACCCCAAGGAGACCGCCAAGGCAGCCATCACGTCCGTCCCAGAGGCTCGCCTCCCAGGACAGGGGTGGCCAAGCCCTTCGATGGCCCAGGACGTCGATGGCTCAAGTGCCCAGTCCCCGCGCCGAGGCTTCCAGGGCCCGGGAGCTGGCACCCCCTATGAGCAGGTCTTCTTCCTCCTCGTCCTCAAAGGCCCGCGTCGGGCGCCGGGGTGGATGCCGAGGCGTGGGCTCGTCGCGCTCGGCCATGCGCTCGACGGCGCCCTCGCCCACCAGGAAGACGGTGTCGGCGACGCGCGGGGGCCCTGTGACCGGGTTGTGGTCGTAGGAGAAGACGCGCAGCGCGCGCAGCGGGTGTAGGTCCGGAAAGCCGCCCAGACGGTTGCGGTCCAGGTCGAGGATGTGCAGGCGGCCCATGCGCAGGAGCGCGGGCGGGAACTCCTCGAAGCGGTTGCCGTAGAGCCAGAGGCCGCGCAGGCCCGTCATGCGCGGCAGCTCGGCGGGCAGCGCGCGCAGCCGGTTGTCGCCCATCTGCAGCGACTGCAGCGCCACTAGGCGCAGCAGCGGCCGCGGGAAACGCCGCAGGTAGTTGCCCTCGATCCAGAGGCAGCGAAGGCTCTGCAGCTGCGCGAAGTCGGCGGGCAGCGCCAGCAGGCGGTTGCCGCCCAGGTAGAGGCGCGTGAGGCGCGGCAGGCGACACAGGCCGTCGGGCAGGCGCTCCAGCTTGTTGAAGTCGAGCGCCAGGATGCGCAGCTCGCGCAGTTCCTCGATCTCCTCCGGCAGCTCCCGCAGCCCCGTGCCGCTCACGTACAGCTTCTGCAGGCGGCTCAGCGCGCACACGGCGCTGGGCAGCCGCCGCAGCCGCCGCCCGCTCAGCTCCAGCTGCTGCTCGCCGTTGCGCAGCTGCTCCTCGGCGTCCGACGGCAGCTCGTCCGGCGTGGACTCGGCGATGCCCATGGTCACGGGCCCCGGCCGGGGCCGCCACCGTCGCCGCCCGGCATCGCCCCGCCCACGGCCGCCCCGACGGGGCCGCGGCCGAGCCGGCTCCGGGGGGCTCCCCGCCCCGGCCTGCCCCCCGCGCGCCGGGAGCTGGTGGGGCGGGGAGGCGTGCGGGGCCGGGAGGAGGCGCCCGCTCGGGGGGCCCCGCCGCCGCGCGCCGCGCTCCGCCGCACGCCCTCCGGCCTCCCCCGCTGCCTTCGCCCGGGGCCGACTGACTCCGGCTCCGGCGGACTCGCAGCTTAGCGACCCGTCGCCCTGGCAACCCCCGACGCGCGTGCGGCTGCCAATGAGGCGGAGGGAGGGCGGAGTGGGGCGGGACCAAGGCTCCGCCCTCTCGGGGTCCAGGCCCCCGCGCCCGCCCGCTGCCCGCCCATCCCTTTCTCCTGGAGCGAACGCCACCAGCCCAGGGTTTCTGGGACTCGACGTCCGACGCGATCTTCTGCAGCCACAGTGGCTGTCTGCTTCCCAGGACGCTGGACCCGTGGCTCTGGCGGAATGGAGCCGGACAGCAGACCCACCAGACCTGGGGAGTGGACAGGGGACACAGTCCTGTGCGCCGTTCGCGTCCAGCAGCGCTTCTCGCTGTGGGTCGCTTAGGAACAGCAACTGGAAGCTGAGTTACTTCCAGGCCCGGTGCACAGCTAAGGATTTGCGGGCACCGAGGGCTTGGCTCTGCCCCGCGGCTTTTCTCGATTACTCACAGCCGTATCTCCTGCCACCTTCCAGCCACACCGCCCAAGAGGACTGGGGCGTGTGTACGAGCCACGTCAGCCTCGTTCCAAGACTATGTGCTCTCACCCACAATCCCAGCCCTCTGTCCCTGCCTGCCCCCACCTTCCAAGCTGGTGTAAGAAACACTTGTCCCCCAGGCATTAAATCCTCGCAGCAGCCTGCAGGAGACACCCTCTTTAACCCGATCTTGAAGATGGAAGTGTGTCTGTCCCAGGTCCCCCCTCCAAGCTGATGAGAGGGTGGGATCAGCCAAGCGTGACTCCGGAACCTGTATTCTTGACCCTGCACCTGGAATTGAGTGTTCTGGAGACAGAGCCTCTGACCCCCCTCTACAGAATTGCAGGAAGGCATTCGCGGGGGGGCGGGGAAGCAACACAGAATGGTGCCGGCTCTGGGCTGTTTTCTCTCCCACCTGACCAGTGGCTATAAAAACCCTCCCTCTGACCCATGCCCAGGACATGCCCACTGTGGAGGGAAGGGAAGAGGCGGCAGAGAATAGGAGGCATCCAAAGATAGAGTGGTTCCCAAAGTTAAGGATGAGAACCGCACCCCTGGGCACGTGCACCTGCTGGGGCAGACACTTCCCTGCCTTCTCCCCCACCCCGCCTGTTGGCATAGAAGGCAACAAAGTAAACATTCTGTGAAGAACATTCCCCATCAGAAAGCAGGAAGGCAAATGTTGGGTAGAGTGAAGCACACGTGTAGCAATTGTACAAAGGGACACACCCATGTCACACACCCATGTCACACTGATCCATCCCATCAGTAAAATGAAAATCTTCAGCATGCACATTTTTCTGCCCCTAGCCTCTTTTGCTCTAATATTAAATATAGAATTTTTAAAATTATTTTTATTACAAAGTCAGATATACAGAGAGGAGAGACAGAGAGGAAGATCTTCTGTCCAATGATTCACTCCCCAAGCATCTGCAATGGCCAGAGCTGAGTCAATCCGAAACCAGGAGTCCAGAGCCTCTTCTGCATCTCCCACACAGCTGCACGGTCCCAAGGCTTTGGCTCGTCCTACTGCTTCTCAGTACACAGGCAGATGGCTGGATGGACAGCAGGGCTGCTGGGATTAGAACTGGTGCTCATATGGGATCCCGATATGTGCAAGGTGAGGACTTTACCCACTGCCCTAATTATAGTTTTTTTTTTTTTAATAAGGGAATGAGCAAGTAGCAGAACAATAGTATCTATGACGGGGAGGTGGGGTCTTGAAGCAAACAGCTGATGGAGGAGGGAGCGGACATGGGGGCCAGTGCTGCAATGAGCCAGCAGCCGTGAACCCACATCCTGGCAGAGACTGACTCGGTGGGTTTCCTGAAAGTGGACCCAGGAGAGGGAGAACAGGACCCGGTATGGCTGAGGAACCCCCACCACAGCTTGGAGGGGCTTCTGGCTCCTCCCCTACCCCACTTCAGCCTCTGTCCAACTGTTACTTCTTTGCCTAGGGAAGGATGTTCTTGAGGCCATGAGGGGCAGGGGGTGGAAGGCAGCCAGGTGCCTGCATGAGATCAGGCTGAGCACCTGCCTGGCCCTGCCCCCACCCGCCCCCAGGAGTTGTGATCAAGGAACATTCGCTGTGGAGGAGGCAGCTCAGCAGCCCCCCTCGCCACATGCTCAGGCTGGCACTGCAGCACCAGCCTGGTCTGGCTTCCCAGGGCTGCAGCCGGGAGGACCAGCCCCCTTTTTCTTCTCCAGGGCTTATTATATATTTTTTTTCTTTTGCTCTCGGTAGCTCCTGTACCCTCACCTCCCATCGGGCCTTTCTCAGTGGGTATGGGTAAATGTGCCTGCGTTCCAGGCCCACGCAGGCTGACAGCGGGGCAATCATCCTGATGAATCACGCTGGCACCGTAGGCACCAGCTCCTTGTTGAGGCGTCACTAATGAATGAGCCTCACCTCCAGCATGGGGCCCCTCAGCTTGTCCCCACTCCCTGGGAAGACAGGAAACTGAGACCTGTGGTGGGGGCCAGGAAGTGGGGAGCAGGGCCAGGAGAGGGCTGTGACAGCCTCAGGCAGCAGCAGCCCCCCACAACAAACACACTGCTAAAGTATTCCAAGGGCAGGTCCTCTGGCACCCGCCCCAAACTCTCCTGTTCAGCCCTGAGCCCCAGCTGTGGCACCCCTGAGGCTGATGTTAATTAAAAAATATTTTGAAATGCAGGAAAATGGAACTCTGGGATTAATTTGCATGTGCCTGGGACCCAGCACCAACAATATTTCAACTTTGCTCCCCGTCCCTGCCAGTAGCCAGCAATCTCATATCATCAAGTCCCACCCCCCCACCGACTCCCCGTCCCCCACAGGAATCCTCTTCCCTCCTGGCCACCAAGAGCACTGGACGCTGAGACTTCAAGCAGACCGTGGGTTATTGAACACTCCATTGGTTTTTAGCAAAGGTTTGAGCCTACCAGAGGCAACTGTGAAATGTCAGAGCACAGAGGGGGCTTAGCTCCCCTCGGAGGCCACAGCGAGGGACTCACCCAGGAATGTGCACGATTCTTTGCAGGTTCATGGTCTCTAGGATGCCTAGCCCAAGTCCTTCATCCAACAAAAAGGGAAAGGAAGTCTCATTCCCTTTACCTGTGCCAGGCATCACCGGGAACTACTGTCGATGTCATCACAGCAGACGAAGGGCCCTGCCTGTGTGGAGCGGATACGCTTGCAAGCTGGGATAGCCAACAAAACGTGTGCTTGTGAAGGGGTGACCAAGCTACAAGGTCAAATCCAGCCGAAGGAGAGAAGGAGGGCTGAAAAAAGGGTGGGAATGGGGAGATGCTTTTCAAACCCAGAAGCCTGGAGAAACTCGTGGGTAAGACAGAGTGGAGGCAAGGGTCACCTTGTGCAGGTGTTTCTGACCATGGCCTTGGGGATGCTGTTGGGTGACAATGTGCCTGGAAGGCCAGGAAATAAGATGAGGTCAGGGATGGACCACGAAGGACCTGTGGCTTTGACTCTGGGTGAAAGGTCACCAGGGCTCTTTGGTTGGTCATATGTTTCTCTACCTGCGCCCCCCCTGAAAAAAAAACGTGTTTATTATTGAACCATATTTATTACTTTAGTCCAGAGCTAAGGTTTAGGCCTGATTGGTGTGTGTCTCCTCAGGGAGTCTTCTGTTGGGAGTGTGGTCCATGATGTGGCTATGTGGGAGCCAAGAAAAACGTGCAAGAGGCAGGACTAGTGGGGAGTCATTGGGTAACTGCCCTTAAAGACGTTAAGGGAGCCCCCTAGGGTGTGGGTAGGTTTTTTTAAGTTATAAAAACAACAAGTTCAGCCCCTTTTCTCTCTCCAATTTCCCACGCTATCAGGTGATATGTGCTTCTCACGCATGCATCCATTGAAAGGTGCCATCCACCATCTACCTTAGCCAACAGAAACCGATGTCATGGCCTTGAACCTCCAGCACCATAAGCCACATAAACCTCTCTTTATAAGGTACCTTGCCTCCAGCATTTCATTACAAAACGAACTGACGCACAGAGATGAAGAGAAAAATCACTTTCCAATCCAACAGGTCCGAGTGTCCAGCCAGCGATAGCATTTCTAGCTGGATCTGGTGAGGTGATAGCAACCTTGATACAGCATGAGTATGTGTGCCACCTCACGTGCAGCTCCTCGGGGCGCCAGCCTGGCCGCCAGCCAAGGTCTCCTCCTGTCGTTGCACTGACTGTGTCAGCAGTTCTCATCTGAATCCACAGGGAAGGAGATGGTTCTGTTTTAGTTTCCTGGCCAGGAATAGCTTGATCCTGAAAGTCTCATGAGGAGGTAGGGCAAGGAATGGGGTCAACCACACACACACACACACACACACACACACACACGCGTGCGCGCACACACACACACACTCGCATACATTACAACGGCAGAAAAAAAGAGAAGAGGGAAAGGCATACATTTTGATAGCGTCCTTTTGGCTGCAGCTGTAGGAAAGTGTGTGTGTGTGTGTGTGTGTGTGTATCTGAGAGTATATATGCATTTGTGGGAGCCTGAGTATGCACATGTATGTTGCTACCCTGAGGGTAGCAATCACAAGCAAAGCCAAGATCTTGTGCACAAACCCGCTTTGGTGCGCTGTCCAGGTTTTTCCCACTGAGTCATTGATTCTCAGCTTGGAGGAATTAGGGGAAGCAACCAATGCTCAGTCCCACCCTGCAAACAGCAAGCAGTCCAGGAGTACCTATCCAGTGAGCCCCACGTTGCTGGAGAGGAGCCAACCATGTTGTTTCACAGCCCAGGCCCTAGAACTCACTCTGTCTAACCAGTAATGGTATGGGAAGTAGTAATCCTGAAAACAAGGCAAGCCTAGAAACCCCACAACAGGGACAGGTGGACAGGATTAAACAGACCTGCAAGCCCAGTGTCAGCTCAGGTCTGCGGCCTGGGCCCAGGGTTTGCCTGACAGCACATTCCAGGCAGTATCTGCCCCAGCCTTGGTCCAGAGGCCTGCAGTGAATAGAAACCCCACCTGGCTGGT